GGCCCAAGGACAGGGCAGTCTCCTCTGTATGTCACAGGTGTTTGAGTGACTACAGACACGGGAGCAGCAGGAGGTAGGCGCAGAAGGACTGGGGCTGCTGTGTAGAAAGGATGGTCTTCAGCTCTGGCTGAAGGTATATCTTAAGCACTGTCAAGCAGGTGCCTCATGAGAAAATAAGCCCAGGAAAAGAACCTCAAACTGGAGGGCCCACATCCCTCTCAGCTGCTGCTGCCTGGGCCCAGGGCCAGACTGAGGCAGCGAGTGTACCGGGTGTGCCAGGAAAGGCCCCCTTAGTTCAATCATTTTGATAGGCACAGCTTCAGGATTCAGCAGGACATGGAGGAAGCAGGTAGGACCTGGCCACAGCTCTGAATGATCCACTGGTCCTGGGGCTCACCAAACTGGCATTGGTAAGGCCGAGGAGAGAGGCCATCTTCCACACAGCTTCTCACAGCACAAACCCTCCCCACTATTCCCTCCCCGAGGATGGGTGTGTCAGAAGTCTCAGAAAAGAGGCACTGATGCCCAGGCAAACATGATGTCAACTTGGGAGACCCAACTGAAGCATAGGTCACTTTGTAAAAAAAAAATTACATAATAGGAAACTAACAGATGTGGCCCCTCAGAACAGCGAGCCCCAGCAAGCGTGCCTGCTGGCTCTAGCCAGAGTCGAACCGACACTACATTCAGCAGCTAAGTGCACGCTTCCAACAGGGGCCCGCAGGCTCCGCTGAGCTGGCTGCAGCTGCTGTCACTGTCCACTGAGAAAGGCCAAATGCCCTTTGGTGCATCTGTTGGCGTAGTGTCCTTTTTCACCACACTGGGAACAGCGGGAGGGAAAGGAGAGACAAAAATACAATACCGTTTTCAAGTGCACTTTTCAATTACCCACACCAAAAAGACAGGAAAAGACTCAATTCTCTGCAATGCAGATTTTCTCTCAGACAGCAGCAGGAGTCCAGGAAAGCGAGGCTACCAGAGAATGACCTGACCCCCAGCCAGGGGCTCCTTTAGCCCGTTCCTCACTGGCACTGCACCCTGGGCCCCCCCCCAGGGGACTCCCAAGTGGGTGGTAGGATGAAGAGGACCAATCCCCTCTACGGGACAGGCCAATCACTTATCTCTGAGCCAAGATCTGGGGCTCCCTGAGGAGATGGGAGGGAACAGTGCAACAAGCAACAGACTCCTCCCCCAACTTGGGAAGCCAAGCTTTCCCTGCTGGCTCTTGCACACCTAAGCTACCCCTGGGGACAGGTTTCGATCACAGATGGGGAACAGTTAGACTTGGGTGAGTGGGGCTGGTAGTTGTCGGGTCTGACTTAAGTGAGTCCTTTATAGACAGGACAAAACAAACAGGCTGCTTTTAGCAAATAGGCTAGTAAATAAAGCAAACAGACCCAAGTGTAGTATACAGCCCCCTGGCGTCGAGAAGTTCAGTAACTGTATACACACCTGAGCAGAGAATCCTTGGGCATCCAAGTCTTTAAAATGTTTCATCCAGCTTCCTTAGCCACTTCCGTATCTATGTGAGCCTAATTCCTTTCCCAGTTAGTTGCTAATATACCTCTCTCCTTAGCCAATTTCTCCGGGACGAGATCCCTCCCAGCCAGCTGCCACTATCTTCTGTCGTCAGCTCATCCACACACGGATGTGATCAACTCCGCTTTTCTCAGCTAGCTGCTAGAATCTGCGGAGTTCTAGTCTCTGTTTACTGGAATAAACTCTCCTTTCAAAAGCCTGTTTCTTGACAAGTGGATTCTTCCTAACAGTAGTGTCACCTCTGACTTGTTCTGGCTGGTATTATCCAGGCCTTTCCATAGCGTCTCCATTCTCGTGACTCCTCAAAATACAGAAGGGAATCACAGGGAAGGATGTGAACAAAGGCCTCAAGCAAGAACCGAGGGGTTGGGAAGCAGGAAGCAGCTGAGGGCAGCTACTCTGGGGCCCACACTCCAGGTCCTTGTTTTCTTGGCACTGTGTTGTCCTTACCTAGCACTTTCGTCTGTTCCGTTCCTTTCACCCCACAGTCCCATTCCTTCACGTTTGATCTGTAGGTGACTTCTGTATTGATGAGTGGCCCAGGTGGTTACAATGTGATGACCAAGAGAGGAACCACAAGGGCCTGCTGATAGCACTTAACACATCTGTCTTCGGAGCTGATCTTGGGGAATCTAGGTGTCTTTAATATTACAGCATGACACACCTTTGCTAAGAGGATGACCAGTTCCCCACCCCATCTTTCTAAGGTCTCAGGACTTAGACCTTACTTCAGAGGGGAGGCCCTGCTGAGTAGTTCTGGGCTGGGCTAAGAGGATAGCTAACCTGTCTTAGGACACAGAAGTTCTTTACTAGTCTTGAGATGTGACGAGAGAATCTGCTCTGCAAGGGATCTTTCTCATCTGCCTTGCCTTCTCCACCTGCCACCTTCCCAAACTTGCTGTTCAGGGCTCATGTTCCAAAATCTCTCCAGTGTAATCTTTTCACATGCACTTTCCCTTTGACCCAAGCAGGTCCTTCCCACTAAGAATGCAAACTCCTCTGGGGCAGAGGAGGAATTAAGGAGTGCTGACTGCTGTGGCAGTACCTGGGGATCACCCTCTTTTTGTTTTTTCTTTAGGTAGGGTCTCATTATCCTGCCTCAGCCTCCCAGTGCTGATTACAGGTGTGCACCACTCCCAGCAGGGGCCCACCCTTTCTTGAGGGCAAACTGTATGAACATTTTAAGGATGCCCTTTGACTCAGAACTGAGTTGCCGATGCCATCAGTCCAGAGCTAACAAATGTCTGATTCAGACTTGGCACTATTATTTGGAGCAAAACCCATAATGTCTCATCAACAAAGAACCGGTGTAATGGGTTCTGTAGCCACTGAAAAAAATTAGATTTCCATCTCATCTATTTCAATCTCATCTATTATCATGGAAAGAACCCAAGATATTACAAAATTAATTTTTTTTTAAAGGGGTATTTTGTGGATTAGGGCACCCATGATACTAAGATAAATAACAAGGTTAGAAGAGCAATTCCCCAGATGTGTCCTGAGGGCTCCTAGTGGGGTTTGTGAGTAAAAGGGGAATTGGAAACAAAACATGCTGGATACAGTGGCTCTTTTGGGGAAGGACAGCAAGGAGGGACAGCGCTCACACTGGACCCTAAATCCTTTTATGCCACCTAAAAGTTTTATAAAATCATGTACTGATCTTGTATTTTGTCTAATTTCTACATCCAGTCTTTGTGATTCTAGTTCTGTTGCTGGCTGTTTTGGCTGACTCACTCTGGTTGTGTTTCCTTGCATGTTTTGGAATTACTGATTTTTTTATTTTTCTGAGATGGTCTTGCTATGTAGTTCAGGCTGGCCTTGAACTATGGAGCCCAGGCTGGCCTCAAATGCAACAGTAATCCTCCTGCCTCAACCTCTCAAGTGCTGGGATTACAAGTATATGCCACCATGCCCAGCTGGAATCTTTAAGGCAGTAATGGGGATTCACACCAGGTTGTTCTACCACTGTGCTATATCCCTGGGCCTTTTTATTTATTTATTTTGAAATAGGATCTGCCTAAATTGTTCAGGCTGGGCTTGAGCATATAATCCTCCTGTCTTGGCCTTCTTGAAAGCTGGGATTCTAGGCATACACTACTATAGCTGGTTTATGTTTGGGGATTTATTAATTTTTTTTTGAGACAGGGCCTCATTATGTGTTTCAGGCTGTACTTGAATTCACTATGTAGCCAGCCCAGGTTGGCCTCAAACTCAAGGGTGATCCTCCTGCCTCAGCCTCCTGAGTTCTGGGATTACAGGCGTGTGCCACCACGCCCAGGCTGTTCTGGGATTTTAATTATGAACTCATTCTTTGGAATTCTAGCTGTGGGAATTCTGAACACAGCAGGTGAGGTTGCTCCTGCCAGGTGCCAGAGGCACCCTCATTCCAGGATAATTACTGAGTAGAAAACTAACTTCTTAGCTGTCACCAAAAATGTGAACATGGGCCGGGGATTTAGCTCAGTGGTTCCACTGCCTGCCTCGAAAGCAGAAGGTCCCGAGTTCGATCCCCAGTACCAAAAAAAAAAAAAAACAAAAAAATGTGAACATGGCCCACATTTATATAAGGACCAGCCAGTAACAAGATTCTGCAGGGATTTTTTTTCTTCCTTTCTACCAAGACAGGGATGAGAAAGACAGCTTTTCTAGAAAGGCCACCCTTTCCCTGAGTGTCCATTTTAGGTAGGGGGTACATGTTCCTAATCGATTCCTCCACGTGTAGGCTCGATGCTTTGCGGAACCCAGCGAGGAACTGAGAATGCCTCTAGGGCAGTCAGAGGCTTCAGGGATCACTCTTCCCTGCATATGCTTCCATTCTGTTCCTAGCGTCTGGATTTCTTTCATGTTGTTTTGTGGTTTGTTTTAGTGCTACTGGGGACTGAACACAGAGCCTTTGCACATCCCCAGCTCTTCTGTTTTATTTTTTGAGACAGAGTCTTGCTCAGTTGCCCACGGTAGACTGGAATTCATAGATCTTCCTGCTTCAGCCTCCTAAGTAGCTGGGCTTACAGGTGGGCACCCCTGTGCCCAGCTTCTCCCTTTCTTGCAAGCACAGTCCACTCATCCAGCAGCACGTTTTTCTACCCTTCACTTTGCCCTGCTGAGGGCAGGAGGTATGGTCTCTAGCACACCACAGTGGCCCACTGCTTCTCTGACAATCAGCAGAATAAAAAGTGTTCTAAGTTTTTTCCTTCTGTACCGAGGATTGGGACCAGGGCCTTCACACTGAGCTGCACACCCAGTCCTTCCCATTTTTTATTCTGAGATAAGGTCTACGTTGCCCAGGCTGGGCTCCAACTAGTGAGCCTCCTCCCTCAGCCTCCCGAAATGCCAAGCTGACAGCTGCGCACCGCCACGCCTGGCGAGTGTTCAGAATTAACCAAAACATCAAGTACAGTACAGGGAAGGAGGGAACGGCCGCCGACTTCGGAGAAGAGCCCCGCCCCCGGGCCCGGCCTCACCTTGTAGCAGGTGACCTGCTCCAGCGGCCGGGGTCCGCGGTTCCCTGCGCTGCTGCTCTGGCTCTGCATGACCCCGATGACCTGCGGGGCCCTCTGCTGGTTGGGAGAAGAGTTCTGGCTCGTTAACTGGATCAGGGAGCACGAGGGCGACCTCTGTAACGGCGGATTGCTACTTTGCTGGAAAGAGCCACACAACAGGTCTTACTGTGGAAGCACGTGCAGCCGACTGCCGAGGGGCACGGGAAGAAGAGGGCGGGATCGTTCCCGCGTGACCAGCAGGACGAGGGCTTCTGGGATAGCCCGGCTCAGGAGAGCAGGCAGAAGAGAAACTGCTGGTGATGATGGCAGGAGCCGCTGCCCGAAAAGTACCATGCAGACACACAGAAACGCAAAGCAAAAGTCGAACACAAAACACCAAAGAGACAAGAGGAGGTCTCTGGGGCGGCGGGGCAGGGGCATGATCAGGCCTTACTTTTGGTTCTGAGGTTCTAGCGTCAGGTCAGGATGAACGCTTGGTTCAGCCAGATGTTTAGCGGCCTACACGGCGAGCAACAGTCACAGAAAAACAGTTGGGAGCCTGGCCTGCTACCTGCGGTCTGGGGGCTGAGGGCCCTCCTCCAGGGGGCCACATAGGAAGGGGCAGGGCTGCTAGGGCGGGGACTCCACAGCAACGCATGTCCAAACCATTGAACCCTAAAGACCGAGCGAGGAAGCCCCAGGCTGGCAGCTATACCCGTGCCTGGAAACGCCTGGCTTTCCCCAGGAGAGTTCGGTTTGTTTGGCACCTGTGCCTCCTGAGGGTGGGGTGGGTCTGTGGAGGGTAAGCACAGCCAGGTAAGAGATGAGGCTTCCAGGGCAGCAGACCTGTTGAGGCCCTACCTAACCCTGGGCCAGCCTTCCCCGGGCCCAGCTTCAGCCCTGTACCCAGATCCAGGGAGTCCTGTTTGGGGCTGCCAGAGATCCCCACTTGTCTGTGTTATGCATTTTCACTCTTCTCGCGCCTGAGGAAAGGGACCAGCTGCACCGTGGGGCTATCTCAGAAACTGGAGCCAGCTTGTCCTTCAGTCCTGGTCTCGCCTTAGGAGCAGCAATGGCGCTAGCCCGAGGACCCTTGGCCTCAGTTCTGGTCCTCCATTTGCCACTGCCTGGTGGTGTCGCCTCAGGAAGTTCCTCCTTCTAGGAGTCCCAGTCTCCCTTGCTTGTAAGGGGCAGGATCTGACCCAGAAGCAAAAGCAGCAGATACCAGCCCAGGCCACCCAGCCCAGTTCCTGCGGCAGACACTGCTGAGCCACAGTGGCGTGTGCCCACGTTCACTCTGGGCCACCCCCCCCCCCAAACCCTGCCTGTCATCTTGCTTTAAGGCCATATTGTGCTGAGGGTCTATGCTTGAGGAAAGAAAGGAAAAGGCCAAGTGGGAATTCAGGTCAGGCACATGCCCTCCCTCTCTAGAGGTGCCTGCACACTCCTCTGCTCCCAGAGCTTTCTGCTGGAACTTGAGGGCATTTCCTGTCCCTTCTCTCCTGCCTCCTCCCTTGCCTCCTCCCTTGCCTCCTCCCACAGGATTCCCCACCGGGTCTCGGGTCTTTAGCAGACCGCACTCTGAGGTTCTCTCTGCGGGGCTGCATGGCCAGGGAGGGCCCAGAGCACGGTACCTTTGTCGGAGGCTGCGTCTGCTGCGGCAGTGGGGGCTGCTCAGTGGTTCCCATAGGCAGTTCAAATCGGGGGCTGGTACCACGGCCAGAGAGGATGTGGGCAAGGGAAGAAGGAGGCATGAGAGGAGTTGGCTGGGCGGTGCTTGGAAAACCACACCCAGCCCTTGCACAAGCCAAAGTGCCCCAAACCACAGGGACACAGGGTGGGGCTGGCACTCAGCGATGCCTCTGGGAGGCCTTGGGCAAGTGCTGTTCCAAGAAAAGGCACAGCCATGCCGTGTGTGTCTCTGGAACAGAGGGCCTGTAGCTTTCAGATTCCCAAATGGCCCATGACCCATAAAGGTTAAATGCAGTCTAGACACAGCTGCCTTTGGGCTCAATAAGCAGAGCGGCGGTCAGCAGCAGTTCCTCCCCATCTCCCATCCCCACCCTAGGTCCTGGCACTGACTCCATTCAGTGACCAAAACCCTTCTCCCAGGAGGGACACAGACAGCAGCAGCAGGGCTGGAGCCAGGAGTTGTAGGCATGGTACTCACTGCATGAATTTACACGAGGGGCCCTCTGGGCAGAATCCCACCAGGTAATTCACACAGATGACTCTCCGCGTGTGCCGGTGCCTGCACAGAGGACCTGCAGAACCCAGTGTTTGGGTCACTCAGATGTCCCTCCTGTAGGGGAATGCCTTAATGTCCCCACTATCAGCCAGAGCCACACCAAACTGCCAGAGGATGGTTTCATATGCTGGCTTTGCCTCAAAATGAGAGGGAAGTAGAGGCAAGGACTCAGCCTCTCTACATTGGTCTCCTTATCTAAAATGCAGGTGAGCAGACCTATCGGCACCCACAGGTAACCCCAGCCACTGGGGAGGACAAGGGGGATAGACTGTGAGTTTCAGGCCACTCTGGACAACTTAGCGAGGCTCTGTCTAAGAAAAAAGCTGAGGATGTACCTTGGTGGTGAGCATCTGACTAGCATGTGTGAGCCCTGGGTCCAATCCCCAGTACTAGAGGGAAAAAAAGACAAGCGCATCCCCACAAGGCCTGCTTGGGAGGGGTATGAAAAAGCTCAGGGTTTCTGGGACAGGGGCAGTGCTGTCCCAGGAAGACCAGCCAGCACCCTTGAGGGTGCTGTGGACCGAGGGGGAGCCCCTACCCAAAGGCCCAGCCCATCCTGCACCTACCATGCTTACAGAAGCCGCGGTCGTACCAAGGGCAATCCTTGATCTTGGACTCCGGGTCAATGTGCAGGAAGGGGCACTCCTTGTTGCTGCACTCCCCTGCAGGAAACCCAGACATGTGGCTTCCTGGAATAGAGCTTTCCCAAGCCAATGAGGGGCCAGGAGGTTCTGGTACCCAGACTTGGCCTTGGCAGCCGTGAGCCCTGCGCAGGATGTTAGTGGGGCCGTGCCCTGCTTCTAGAAGGGATGGTAATACCAGCAAAGCCTCGTCCAAGGCAAACTCTAATCAAAATCCATTGTTTCACTGTTACCCAGGCAGAGAGGGCATCATGGGCATGTGGGGGCCCAAATAAGTAAATGTGCCCTTGAGACTAGGACGTAACTTTCCTCTTCTGATTGACTCTATGAGCTAGGACAAGGGAAGATTCAAGAACTGACTTTTTTTTTTGTACCAAGGATCCAACTTGGGTCCTTGTGCTTGCGGGGCAGGCGGAGGAACCTCCGAGCTAAATCCCCGGCCCAAGAACTGACTTTTAGGACAACTACTGGGAGTTCAAGGCAGGGACCATGGGGAACTATGGGGTAAGCATTGGTGATGACAACACATGTGGACCAGGACGGTTCAGAAGCGAGCAGCCCAGGTGGCTGTCAGCATTAGGGACACACCTCCCAGTGTGACCACCTGCCACCTCCAGGCTGGCCCTCTGCAGTCTACGCTAACATACCTGTCTACTATCCAAAGGAAAGGCAAATTCCAGCCCATACCCTCCTCCTTGAATCCCTTCCATAGGCTCAGCACCCCTTCTGCAGCCACATTGGCTCCACCACAGTCCAAGATGAATCTTCAGCCAGGACTAGGCCCTTCTTTGCCACCCCCCGGCATGGCCCTCCCAGATCAGTCAGCCTAAGAGAATCCAGCTGGGTCTCATCACTGTTTATTTCCTTCATGGCACTTTTCACGAGCAGTTTTCTTCTTTATGTCACTGGCTCTTTGGCTGCCCCTGTAACCTGGGTCACTAGAGCAAGGACAGGTCTGTCCTCTTCACCACCATCCCTCTAGGAGACCTTCAAAACAGCTGTGGCACATAACAGGAGCTGTAGGTGGCATATCTGCATGAAGGCAGGCTCCACAGGGAACAGGCAGGCAGAAGGGACATGAGAGACGTGGAGTTGCTGGGCTCAGGGCTGTCAGCAGAGAGGAGGAAACCCCAGGGACAGCTCTGGGGCTATATGGGAGACCCTGCTCCACTCCAGTGTTGCTTTGGGCAGAAGTGTGTGCCGGGGCTACAGATGTGGCAGACAAGGTGATTTCAAGAGAGTGGGGGGCTGGGAGTCTTCAGTCCTGCTGTCTACTTTGACTTCTCAGCTTACGATGCCTCAGCAAAACAAGCCACAACTATCATTAAGAAGCCGGCAGTCAAGCCTGTTGGGATGCTGAAATTAGTATCTCCTCCATCAACAGAGTTTTGAAAGCATGAAGCATGCCCAGCACTCCTCAGCTCACCATAAGGCCTCTGATGGGCTTCTGACCGCCTGCCCAGCCCCTGCACAGAGCCTGGGGCTGGCAACCCTGGGGTCAGAGCCAGCCCTTGAGCTGACCAAGAACTTCTTCCTGGGACACCCTGAAGAACAGACCAGAATGGAAACCCTAGCCACAAAGCTCTGTGCCAGCACCACTGCCTTCACCCTGTCCTGCTTCTCCATGCAGCCCACTCAGGACAGGTGAGACCACACATTCTCTAAGCACAGCTCAAAGCAATCTTTGTTTCAAGGTAAAGATCAGGGCTCACTGTCACCAGAAGACAGCTCCCCCCTATACCTATTCTTAGGGCTGTTAGGATGGCCTAACTATTACCCAGGATCCTGCTTCCAGAGAGAAGGAACCAATTTAGCCCAAGGCAGGGGTAATTAGAGACCATGCTGGAAGGAGATGTGGATTTCAGGGGTCAGGCTGCCATGAGCAGAAATGAGGTCTCCAGTCCACTGCACTGCCTGCTTGTTCACCAGGACTCCGCTTCACTTCAATGTCCCAAAGTGCTTCAAACCCTAGAGCATTCCAAAGACATGAGGGACTGTCAGAGAATCACCATGACATCCCCTCACTGAAGAGCCCACTCGGTGGCAGCGACTGCCCAAGTCCCCGTCCCAAGCTGGAAAGATGGGAGGAGGCAGAGATGCAGTGGGTCCTCGGCAGACACACTGGGTGTTGGTTCTCAGCAGAGCCCCCAGGATTCTGCGTGCCTTACCAAATTTGGAGTAGAAGTAGCACTCGGGCATCTTGGTCATGTCATACTCGTGTAAGAACTCACACTGGTCACCTTTCTTGCACAGTCCCCGCAGCCAGTGTTTGCACACAACTGTCTTCTCACCACTGATGTGGCGGAATGGACACATGCCTCCTGTCGAGGAAGAGCGGCCAGGTGTGAGGAGAAATGTGAGCGCAGGGAGCTGAGGTGCCTTTATTCTATACTTTCCTGAAAGCAACATGTTCTGGAGGGTGGTAAAGGTGCCCCTGGGAGAAGGCAGTCTGGTTTTAGGCAGTATATTGGCAAACATTTTAAACTTCAGTAGCTCTGTGTTTTAGTTTAAGATAGTTTGGAAAAATATAACTATAGTATTAGATCATGATTTCATAGAAGTTGTAAGGTGCAGGAGTAACAAGATTAGAGTGAGATGGGGAGAGGTTCATTTATTCCTTATTAACAGTTCCACTGGTACACAGACATGGACAAACTGTAGGGGTGGTAAAAAGAGTGCAGCTGGGCAAACTTTAAAGGATAAAGAGGATCATCAGAAGCTTGGACTCCAGGCAGGCTCTGTCTCCTGTCAGAAGTAACAGCCTCAAGATTCCAAAAAGATCAACTTCGGGACTGAAGAAACGCAATGTATGTTAAAAGGGAGAGGCGTCTTTCTGCAGCAGGACCAGATGGGACAGAGCCATCCTCTGGGAATATAAGACTTGTAACTAGTGGCCTGGCAGGACCACTGGGAAGGGCCGATTAGAATAAGGCTGTGACTAAGAAAGATCTAGACGTGGTCTGTCCAGAAGTTTCTGCAATGATGGAAGGCCATGTTCTACAGCCCTGCTGGCTAATGCAGCAACCACTAGCCACTGTGGCTGTTGAGTACTTGAATCATCATATGTGACAGAGAAGTGACATTTTTCATGTGTTAAATTTATTTTGTTTTGTTTTGTTTTTGGTACTGGGATTGAACTCAGGACCTTGTACTTGCCAGGCAGGAGTGGTGCCACTGAGCTACATCCCCAGCACATGTGTTAAATTTAGATTTGAATAGGCACATGGGGCTTGTGCGACTCGTGAATAGTTGCAGTGCCCTATGTTAAGGACAGTTGTGTTAACAGAAGATGGCTGGCCAGAAGGCTTCTGCCTTCACTGTAAATATGTGAGAATGAGCACAGGAGCCAGTAGGGGTATGATCCCGAGCAGGCAGTGTGAGGTTAGGCCAACTCATCTATCTGCAAGGTCTACAGCTTCAGCGGCAAATGACTGTTATAAACTCAGAACTCCCTATTCAAGCTTCTGGCTTCCTGAACAAATTTTCCTATAGGAAGAACCAGACTTGTACATAGCATGTAAGGTCCTGCTCAGCAATACTTATGAGTGAACAGATATAGTCTGGCTCATGCAGTCTCTGTTGGGGCCTAGTAAGTTTAAAAAGGACCCCACACAAAGGTTATTGTGGGTCATATGCTAAGAAGCCAGAAAACAGTGAGCTGGTGTAGACTGGAATCAGAGAGACCTATATTCAGACACTGGACTCAACTACACAGTAACTTGAGGACTCTGAGAAAGTTCCCGAGGGAATCCTCTGGGCCAGGCTCAGCCTGTGGGCAAATTTTGGGCAGAACCCCTATCCAAACCACAGCTCATCTGTGCACACTGTTAGCCTGCAGGAGGCAACACAGGCCAGGTGGCAACACATCCGCCAGGGGCCTAAGTGGCCAAGAGAACCTCAGGAGGCAGGGCAAGAAGCCAGGCTGCTTACCTTTGCCACAGGCTGCTTTCAAAAAGAATTCACAGACAGCAGCGCCCGACTCTGCAGAGTGAGAGAAAAGGAGCAGCGTCAACCAAAGCTGGGTGCTACTGCTATTAGCAACGACTGAAGACAGAGTGAGGGATCCTTCTGGTCTTTGACCTGGGGTACAGGAAACAGAGCGGCAGAGATGCAAAGTCCAGTTAAGCAAGGCCAAAAGCTGCTTATTTCAGTCATTCCTGCAAAATGAGACACGTACACTGAGATAAAACATTACTTGGTACTTTCTAAGAGGTTCCTGGGAGGGAAACACTGTCTAAGAGTTAAGAACATAGGTGAAGAAGGCAGGATGGAGCACAAGATCACAGAATAAGTTAATAACCCCCAGCTCAGACCTCCCAGGAGGCCCAATTCACAGGTACCTTGCCCTGAGGTAGAGAGAGGAATGATTTCACAGGAAATATCTGCAAGCCAATGGGGCCTCTCAAAGGGACAGGTTCCAGAACAGGCATGAGACTCTGAGAGACCAGTTCAGAAGGACGAATGTAAGTGAAGATCCGGAAGCAAGCCTGCTCTTATTTTTTGGTAGAGGGTCTTGCTACCTAGTCCAGGCTGGCCTTGAATTCATGATCCTCCTGCCTTGAGTGCCACCATGCCCAGCTAGCCCGTTCTTAATATTTAACATCTGCATAAACATAAAGGAATACAGTCTTTTCAGGCACAGATGACTCCGGTGAAGGGAGCAAGATCACAAAGACAGAGCATGGTGAAAGTGAATGGGCTCCAAGGGCCAGATGTTTTGACAAGTCCAGGAAATACATAGGCCGTGCTTCTAGAATAAACTGTCTTTGTCTTCATTAACAGCAGGCTTTTCAGAATTGCTGAAAACCTATGATGGCATCTGTGAAACCCACTTACCGTGCTTCCCCTTGTTAATTTGCAAGATAGTCTGTTGCTTCTCTAAAGGAGACAGTTTGCTAGGTCAGAGTTAATGTTGCAGAATTTATGAAATTACGGGGTGGTGGTGGGGAGGTTGTTCTGTGCTCCAAAAAGTCTGCAAAGTCTTACATTTAAAAATGGGGCCAGGGATTTAGCTCAGCGGTTTCGCCGCCTGCTGCGCAAGCGCAAGGACCCAAGTTCGACCCCCGGTGCCCCCCCAAAAAAAAATCTTCCCTGACCTCTGACCTGTGCATCCCTCCAGACAATGGGCTAGAGATGCTGTCATGCCTCAGGAGGAGCAGTCCCTTCTGAGAGCCACTGTGGTTTTAAGGGTTCTGTGGGTTGAAGGTGACCTGACAAGAGTCCCACAGCTAGTGAGTACCACACAGGATGGAGAGAAGTGTGTAAGAAGTGTGGATGCACACTGGGGAAATGAGAGCTTTTTTATCTTTTACTTTACCAGGATGTAGACAAGACTGTAGGCAAGTCTGTCCAGAGAGGGCTCCCTTCCCTTTGCCCTGCTCTTCTCACGCTGTATGGTAACTATACCCTAGTTCCAGTTTGTTGTTCCTTTTTCCCTTTTAAAACAAAGACAAATAGATACAAACATATGCCTGTATATATATAATAAGATAAATATCTACAAAATGAAAAAAAAGTATCATTTTAGGTCACGCGTGGTGCACATACCTATAATCTCAGCACGCAGGAGGTTGAGACAGGAAGATCACTGTAAGTTGGAGGCCAGCCTGGGCTACATAGTGAATTCAAGGCCAACCTGAACTACTCGGCAAAAAAGATCAAAAAAGTCTCAAAAGTCTCTTTTTTTGTCTCAAAAAAGATCATCAGCCAGACAGCTGCATTTAGTACATCCGTTGCAAAACACAACGGACACACTGAAGTATAAAATATTATTATATAATTAAATGTAAATAATATTGACATTAATATTTTAAAATGCTAATATATATTACAATTACTTGTAAATACCCAAGCAGGCACCTGTGGACAAGAGGTAAACACCTGTGTAAATGGATGAACTCGAGATTTAGTGCTGAATGACCAACTGGAAGTACAGACACAATGCACGAATAACTGTGCGCACTTGATAGCAAAAAGACACGGTTTTGTCTATTATGAATCTTCATAATTTAACAGATCATGTGTTGTTAACGGATATACTTAGTGCACTTGTGTGAACTAAACATTTTCTGAACTTTGGCACCTGCAAGTTTTTATCACTTTTGTGTGACCTATCATTCTTAACTGTCATTATTTTTGTTGCCACTCCTGTCTCCTAAGTCTTCAGTTAACACTTGATTTAATGGAAACTTTGTGAAGCCCAGCCTGCAAGAGGTTATGACTTGGGTGAAATATTCATGGGATGAAATCACTGATGCTGTATGGCCAATGCACCAGGAGCAGGCCACATGGACAAGAAGTGCTCATTTAAGGAGAGCTCTATTGCTGGACATAAAAGACTGGGCACAATGGTTCTACAGAAATGGAGTTGCAAGAAATTCAGGCTGAAAAAAAAAAAGAAAGAAATTCAGGCTGGAATTTGGGGTTTGGAGTTATAATACTGTTCCAGAAGATAACATGACTATATTTGAATAAATGTAATTGTTGTACATGAATAAATGTAGATTGTTGTGTACACACAAAAAAAGACATCCCGTGAAAATAAGCCCTATTGTGTTTTTTGGAGCAAAAATTAATAAGATGTGGTCTTATCTTGGGGACAATATGGTAATTTTCACATACTGCAAACACATACTAATAAAGAAATAAAAGCTGTAGAAAAAAGCATACTTTAGGAACAGAACATTTTCCAAATGGGAAGTGGACCACGGGATGGAAGGGAACATAAGAATTAAGATGTGTTACCTACATGTGCCAACTCTTCAAGATACATTTAATTACGTACTACAAACATGTACAAATAAAAATGAAAATGAAAACAGAAGGCCAGAATTTACAGTTCTTCTCAAACTGCAATGGGAATGAAGTCAAGGGACCAGTTGAGTAAGGGCCACAACCTTGCTGGGATTTAACATACTGAATACATCACAAAAATGAGGATGACCAAGTCTGAAGTCCTAGGCTAGGCATGTACATAACCCTCCCTAGGAACAAAAGCTCATTACGGTATCCAACCCCAGAAGTTTGTTGACCTGTGGTGCCAGGCAGGAGAAAAGTCTGAGGGAAGGAGCTACTTGCCCCGGATTGTTCTGTGACAGGGGCCACCAAGAGAGGAAAAGCCTTGAGTGGATGTATGTTGCAAGCACTAAGGGATCAAAGGGGCGAGAGGCAGGTAAGAGAGAGCATGTGTGAATCTGAACAGCTGATTATAAGAGGTGTCTGTGTATATACAGTTAGGTCGTTTGATGTATATGTATAGAAGTATCAGCAAGAGAGGAGAGAGGTTTTCTGTGTGAGAATGTAAACGCAGAGAGTAATGAGGTTGACTTTTTTTTTTGGTACCGGGATCGAACTCGGGTCCTTGCACTAGCACAGCAGGCAGCGAAACCACTGAGCTAAATCCCCGGCCCAGTAGTGAGGTTGATAGGGATAGGAATGAAAGCACCAGCTACCATCCTCTGGCAGTTAGGGAGACAGCATAGAATGCTGGCCAGGTCCTCAGACTGGCATACATTGAACGGTCCTCAGCAAGTCCCTCCCATACCTGACCTCAAGTTCCTCATCAATAGATTGAACTCAGTGACCCCTAAGAGCCTCCTGAGCTACAACATTAGGGATCAAGGATTTCCAGAAAGGAGTGTAGAAGGAAACTGCTGGTTTCTCTCTTTTTTTGAGGCAGTCTCACTATGCAGCTCAGGCTGGCCTCAAATTCACAATCCTCCTGCTTCAGCTTCTCGAATGCTGGGATTACAGGCATGGTCATCATGCTTAGCTGCAAGATGTCCCACTGAGTTGGGAAGAGTGGGAAGCCAGAAGCTACTATGTGAAGAGGGAGAGTAAAGGGAGCTCAGACCAAGGATCCACATTAGGGGCCTGGATGTGACAAAGGAGATTTAGGGAAAAACGAGTTTTAGGGCAAGCCCCAAACTAGGAATGAGCTCCCAGGAGTGCGAGTCCCGGGAAAAGAATGGAGTTTGAGCTTGTAGTTCGTACAGTGAAGGAAAAGTGATCTCTCCCTCGGTAGGAGCCCTCCAACAGCGCAGTTGTGACGAAAGCCAAGAAGGCGCTCCAAGTAGAGAGCCCCGGGAGGTGGGGAGGACATCCTAGGCCGGACTTTCCCCTAGTTTGGGAAGTGTGCTGGGAGGAGGTTCCAATCCAGGATCACTGGCCTTCACTGAAGAACCACGTCAACAACAGACGAGGCCCTGCCCTCCTAAAAACCACCGTGGAACAGGCCTAGTAGGTATCAAAGACCCGAGGAAGGGGACTCCAGGTCCGAAGAGGGGGAGAATAGGTCCCGGGACCGGGGAAAGGGTCCTGGGTCCGAGTGGGAAGTATTGGGCCTCAGAGGAGGAGCTCCTGGGTGCGAGTGAGAGGAGAAGAGGTCCCAGGACCAGGGAAAGAGGTCCGGGTCCGGGTCCGAGCCGGTCTCACCCGCCCGCCCGGGCCCCGCGCTCACTGTCCATGCCGGGGAAGGGCAGCGGCTGCGCCCCGAGCTGCTGCTCCACGGCGATCTCCAAGTCGAACTTGATGTGGTCCACGCTGGCGATGATTTCCTGCATGGCGGCGGCGGCGGCGGCCCCCCGGCCCGGCTCCCCTCAAGCGTCTCGCCGCCCTCACTCCCCTTTCTGCTCCCGCTCCGCCACACACGGGGCAGCTCCGCCTCGCCCGCCGCCGCCGCCGCCCGAGGGATGCCGGGAGCGCGGAGCCCGCGCTGGCTCCTTTTGCCTGTTCAGACACGGCCAATCGAGCGCCAGGCCCGGCTAGCCGCCAGCCAAATTCGCGCTTCGACTAGTGGGCAACCTCCGTCCCAGGCCCTGGGAGCTCGAGACGCGGACTACGCCTGCGCGAGGCTGGGTCCCGGTGCTCGCCCGGTGGAGTGACCACGCGCCGGAGCTGGGGCCGAGGCTAGTACTGTTTCTGTGTCGCGCTCCTTCCTCGGGGTGTTTCGGGTGAGTTCCTACTCGATTCTCGAAGGAATTCCGGGACCCCGGTCGGAGGAGCTCCCGGCTACAAGGGGGAGGTCCCAGGCCCCAGAGGTGGGGCTCCCGGGTCCCGGCGAGAGAAGCGGCCCCAGGACCAGGGCGAGAGTCCTGGGTCCGAACGGATCTCACCTGCCCGTCCGGTCTCCGCGCTCTCTGTCGGTGCCGGGAAGGTCAGCAGGGCAGTGAGTGTCGAAGCCGACCGCGGCCTGGGGTGAGGAAACCCAGCCTCTGAAGGCCAGCGTGCCTTGGCGATCTCGGTGAGCCTCTACGGATGGTTGGGTTCCTCAAAAGAAGATGGCCATAGTGTGTTTCTAATTCAGAGATTTTATTTTAAAATTTTTGTAGTACTGGGGATTGAATCCAGGGCCTTCGCATCGACTTACAGCCCTACCCCCTTTTTAAAATGTTGTTGAGACAGGATCTCGCCAAGACGCTGAATTGCCTAGGTTGGACTCAAACTTGCAATCCTCCTACCTCCCGCATCCAGCGTGCAGAGATTACAGTAGCACGTGCATCACCATACCCAACTTTCTAATTCCAGGGGTTAGGACTTGAGTAAATGAATAAATTTAGTAGGAAGAAAATTCCACCTTTACTTTCTCCGTGTGAAAGTTAACATTTCCCTCTCTGACGGGCAGAACAGCGTTAGCATTGTCTGAAAACTGGTAATTTCAGGTGATGATGAGTGTAAATGATAGTTGGAGACAGGGTTTCTGCAGCAACTATGAGGTCTTAACTCTGCTTCAACCTTGTGATAGGCTCTTCTTATTTAATGCATTAAAAAGAAGCACATATATTAGTATAGCATGCACTTATACTAGTATAGTACTGCTGTAGAACTACGACAGTACCTGGACAAGTCCTTTCCCTGGGCTTCTACTGTTGCCTGAGGTCTTTTTGATGGTGACCTAATTATAAGGAGACTTAAATTTTCATGCTGTTACTCGTTATTCTGATATTATTTATTTATTTATGGTATTTTTTTATTAAAGGGTTTAATAACACAGGCTAGACTCCCCACCCAGCTCTGCCCAATAAAAATATCTATCTAGGGCTGGGGATTTAGCTCAGTGGTTCTGGCGTCTGCCTCCGCAGCAGAAGGTTCCGAGTTCTAGCCCCAGTACCAAAAAAAAGAGAAATATCTAGCTAGCTAGCTATCTCTGTATATTTGTGTGTGTGTGTGTGTGTGTGTGTGTGTGTGTGTGTGTGTATTACTGGGGATGACCCCAGGGCTTTTGCACCAAGCGACATCCCCAGCTCTTTTTTTTAATTAAAAAAATTTTCTTTTGTTGTCCAACAGAAATGTAATACAAGCATATGTATAATTTTAAATTTTCAAGTAGACACATTATATTGTAAAAATTGTGAAATTCGTGTTATTTTATTTAGCCTAGCATATCTGAAGTATAATTTTAGCATTTTAAAAAGTTGTAATACTTTGTGTATTCTATATTATGTTTCAAAATCCTTGAAATCCGATGTGTATACACATTTAGAGCAATCTCTATTCAGATTGGCCACATTTCAAGTGCTCAGTAATCACATGTGGCTAGTGGCTGCTGTCTTAGCACAGTTCTTACCCATTTGCCCAGATTTTGCAGAAAAGAAATGCTTGAGTTAGCTTCCATTTGCAGAAGCCAAAATGCCAAGACTTTTTCCCAATAATAAATGATAATAGTTACACTTTTTGAATGCTTCTTAAAATGCCAAGCATTGGGCAGGGATTTAGCTCAGTGGTTCCACCGCCTGCCTCGAAAGCGCAAGGTCCCGAGTTCGATCCCCCGTACCAAAAAAAAAAAAAAATGTTTGCAAAGCTGGAATCTGAGCTGAAACTTTCTGCCTTTCTACACTTGCAACCACTTCTCTGTCTTCTTTCTGCCTTTTGTGACTATGAACCTGAGTTGACTTCCTTGTTTTTCCTGACTTGCTCCAGGTGCTGGTGGAACAGGAAAGCCAGAGATGGACCTTGTGAGACTTTCCCGGCTCTTCTGCAGCCCCTGCCCTGTGGGACTGTCCATCCTGCAACACCTCAACCCTCTTGGAGCCCGATGGGCAGGAGGCAGGGAGCAGCTTGCTATGTGGCAGACCTGGCAGGTGTCAGCCTGCAGTAGTTTTTCTTGTCGGCTGCCACTAGGTCAGAGGAGCCAGAAGAATTTGAGGAGCCTGCCTTCTGACCCGAGCCAGCCCAGCCCTGTGGCCCCTCAGGAGGAAGAGGAGGAGGAAGGCTTTGGAACCCTCTCCAACAAGTATTCTTCCCGGAAGTTATTCCACAAATCAACAGCCCAGTTGTATAACCTGCGGCTCGGGGAACAGAGTGATGAGGAAGAGGAACTGGAGCCAAAATTGTGGCGGGGCCGGAGGAACACCCCGTACTGGTACTTCTTTCAGTGTAAACGCCTGATCAAGGAAGGAAAGGTGAGAGAACCTTGGGACTCTTCTTCCTGGTGGACCAGTATTTCGTGTACTTGGAAAGCTACCCAGCCTTCCCAGCTGCCAGTTGTTGGTCTGCTCAGTGCTCATCCCGTGAGCCTTATCTGTCAATCTTCACTCACCCTGGTGATCCATCAGCCTTGTGGCATTGAGTATCCCCTGGCCACTGCAGTTATGTTCATATCTCCAGTCCCGGCCTTTATGTGGACCTCTAATCTGTGCATCCAACTGCTTGCACCTCCCTTCTTCTTTTTTTTGCCCCCAGTACTGGGAATCAAACTCAGGACCTTGTGCTTGTGAGGCAGGCGCGGTGCCACTGAGCTAAATCCCCGACCCACATCTCCCTTATTCTTATCCACATAGCTACCTGTGCAAATCCAAGCCTGAAAATTTTGTTCCTAACCTTGTGTTCCCTCCTCTTCCCCTAGTACTGGGGATTGATTTCAAGGCCTTTGCACTGAGCTATATTCCTGGCCCTTTTTTATATTTTATTTTTAGGTAGAGTCTCACCAAGTTACCCAGGATGGGCTCAAACTTACAATCTTTCTGCCTCAGCCTCATAGAGTTTTGGGGTTACAGGCGTGCACCAGCATGTCTGGCTTTCCCTGTACTTTATCTCACTAAATGACAATACCATTATTCCACCTCACCCAGGCCACATTTCCTTAGGTCATGCTTCATTCTCTTTCTCTTCCAACTCTACCTCCAGACTGTTTCATCCCTGTTTCTCAGAGCCATATCCTTGAATGCCGAGGAGTAGCCTCCTCAACCTCCTCAGCTATTGAGGCACTGTCCCTGGGCCACCTGCTGCTTGTATCATGTCCTGTCTTGCTAACTGCTCACAACACAGCTATCCTGTTGAACAGAAAGTTGATCATGCTAATTGTCTTTTGTCTTCCCAGAACTCACAGTGTATTCAGTGGTGTTAATGTTCATTTTCTGGCTGGGGATGTAGCTTAGTAGAGCACTTGTACAGCATGCTTATGGCCTTAGGTTCAATCCTCAGCACTGAAAAAGAAAATTACCTGTCTCTGTGGGAGGTGTGGCTTAATGATACAGTGCTTGCCTAGCTTGCTTTAAGCCCTAGGTTTGATCCCCACAACACAAAAAGAGTTGCGTGTGGTGGTGCACACTTGCCATCCCAGCTGTGTGAGAAGCTGAGGCAGGCAGATTGCAAGTTCGCGTGCAGCCTGGGCAACTTAGTGATTTAGCGAGACAGTATTTCAAAATAAAAATTTAAAAATGAGCTGGGAATATAGCTCAGTGCAGAGGTCCTGGGTTCAATTCCCAGTACAGCAAATGAAAATTTTTTAAAACTCATTTTCTTGGGAATTGATAGTGGCATTACTGTATATTTATATTTGAAAATCTCTTAATGGTACATACTGCAGATCATATGGCTGAAGTTGTAGGGTGTCTGGGATTTGCTTTTAAAATGCTGTTTGGAGCTGGGCATGATGGTACATGCATGCAATCCCAGCACTCAGGAGGCTGAGGCCGGAGGATTGCCACAAATTCAAGGCCAGCCTAGGCTGCATAGTGAGTTCAAGGCCAGCCTGGAACTACATAGCAAGACTCTGTCTCAAAAAAACAAACAAAAAAATGCCACTTGGAGCTAGGTACAGTGGCACACACTACTAATCCCAGCTATTTGGAAGACTGAGGCAAGAAGATCGTAAGTTTGAGGCCAGCCTGGGCAACCTAGCAAGACCCTGTCTCAAAATTTAAAAATAAAAACGGGTTAGAGATATAGCTTAATGGTAGAGCACTTGCCCAGTATGTGTAAGGCCCTGGGTTCAGCTCCAGTACTATAAAAACAAAAACAAGAAAAACACCAAAAAAGCCAGGCGTGGTGGAACACTCTTGTAATCACGGCAGTCTGGGAAGGGGCCGGGGATTTAGCTCAGTGGTTCCGCCACCTGCCTCGCAAGTGCAAGGATCCGAGTTCAATCCCCGGTACCAAAAAAAAAAAAGAGAGAGAAAACAACACTCAGGGAAAAGGAGGCAAGAGAATCACAAGTTCAAGTACAGACTGGGCCACTTAGCAAAAGCCTGTCACCAAGTCCCTTTCTTCATCTCTCAGGATAAGGGGCTGAGGAGGCCTGGCGTGGAGGCACGTTCTGTGATCCCAGCACTTGGGAGGCTGAGGCAGGAAGATTGCTGAGTTCAAGGCCAGCCTGGGCTCCATAGTGAGTTCAGGGGCCTGCCTGACTACACAGCGAGACCCTGGCTCAAAGAAAAGCATGTGAAGATGTAGTTCAGTGCAGCGGCCTGAGCATGACTACAGTAAATAGTAACCGAACAGGTAGCCATGCCGTTTGGAAGGGGTTTGCAGGCTGTAAGTGACACATTTATAATCACTATAATTCTATTATTCTCTCTTAATTTTGTGTACATTTTGGAATTTTCGTAATGAACGGTTAAGAGATAAAGAAAAGCCAAAGTCCTCACAGTGGCTTGTGAAGCCTGCAAGATACACCTCTCCATCCTCCAGCCGTCCGTTACCTCTCCACTGTCCTGTCCAGCCGCCTCTTACCCTACAACAGTCACCCCAGCACTTCACTCATTCAGCGCCCACACCTGCTCCGTCTCAGGGCCTTTGCACCAGCTGTTCCCTCAGAGAGTCATGTGCTTCCCTCCTTGCCTTCTTCAAGTCTTGGTTCACATGTCACCTTCTGGGTGGGGCGCTGCTTGGCTGTATGGAAGAGTGACTCCCCCACACCCTTCTTCAGCACTTCCTGATTTAGTTTTTGTTTGTTACACCTACCGTGGTTTCACGTATTACATGCTTTTCTTTTCTTTTTGTTTCTTTTCTCCCTCCCAGCTGGCCGAGGCTCTGGACCTGTTTGAGAGGCAGATGCTGAAAGAGGAACGACTGCAGCCCCTTGAGTGCAACTACACCGTGCTGATTGGAGGCTGCGGGCGAGCCGGCTACCTGAAGAAGGCCTTCCGGCTCTATAATGATGTGAGCGGGGTGGGCAGCAGGGCCAGGGGTCGGCACAGGCTTCAGGAGCAGGAGGAGCTGGGTGTGGACTCTGAGCGTGCCCCTTGCTGCTGTGCTCCCGTGGGCGGGTGACTGCAGCTCCCTGGCACCAGATTCTTCACCTGTCAACTGGAAGTGACCCTGGGAGATGAGCTGAGATGAAGTCGGAGCCCTCTAGCACCTGCCTGGGCCCCAGTGGGCCCGCAAGGCCCCTTCTCTGCTGCCATGCCCAGCTGGCTCACGGTCCTTTTTACCCTCCTACGTGCACATGCATGCACTCTGCTTCCAAGGCTACTCCTTTGAAAAGGGATTTTATTTCTCCCGGAAGATCACTTTACTTTCCACTCTGTACCTCTTGGGTGTATCATCATTGTCAGTCACAGAGCCAGGAAGCCATTTCCTGCATGAGCCCGCAAAGAGCCTCGCCTCTGAGTACTGTGGACTCTTCCTAGAGAGAGCCCGTCACCTGCAGCCAGAAGCTAGAGGCTCTTACTCCTGCAGGAGCTCCTGGGAACCCAAGCCTGATGATCTGTAGCTGCAATCCAGGGAGAAAAATTGCACTTACAAATGGAAAAGTAACATCGTGGCCTTTAAAAGACTGGCTGGCTGAAAAGCATTCAGGAGCCAGGCAAAGGGCAGGCAGAGAAGCGGGAGTGGCCAGGGATTTTGGTCACCAGTCTGGCGGCAGCCCTGAGAATCTTTACGTGACTACCCTTCATGTCACCTTCTCAGAGGAGCCCAGGCCATTCTTTCAGCACTTTGTTGCCTTTATTTATTTATTTTTTTCTAGTACTGGGGATTGAACTCAGGACCTTGTGCTTACAAGGCAGGCATGGTACCACTGAGCTAAATCCCGGCCCTGTTGCCTTTTTTATTGATGTACTTTTTCTAATAAACGTTTCACTTTGGAATAATTTTAGATTTATAGAAAAGTTGCAAAAGTAGTATAGAGGGCCGGGGATTTAGCTCGGTTTCGCAGCCTGCTGAGCAAGCGCAAGGACCCGAGTTCAATCCCCGGTACCAAAAAAAAAAAAGCAGTATAGAAAGTTCCAAATGTCTGGGCATGGTGATACATGCCTGTAATCTCGGAACTCTTCAATGTTGAGGCAGGAGGATTGCAAGTTTGAGCCCAGCTTGGGCTATCTACCAACTTATTGAGACCCTGTCTCAAAATACAAAAGGGCTGGGAATGTAGCTCAGTGTGAATGCCCTGGGTTCAGTCTCTAGTACCAAAAATGAAAGAAAGAAAGAAGTTTCCAGATACCCCTTATCCACTTTCTACCTTGTTAATATCTTACTTTGTGATAGTATGTTTGTCAAAACAAGGTAGCCAACATTGGTGTGTGGCTATTAACTAAACCCCAGACCTTATTTGGATTTCACCGGTGTTACCACTGCCAGCCTCTATTTCTGTATCCAGTCTGGCCACTCGTACTGGCTCTGGCTCTGGCTCTGGCTCCTGCAATCTACGACATTTTCCAAGTCTTTTCTTTGTGACCTTGATAGTTTCAAGGAGCACTGGTCAGGTGTGGTGTAAACTGCCTATCCATGTGTGTTAAGATGCTGTTGCTTCATGATGAGACAGGAGTTGTAGCTTTGGGAAAGGGACCTCAGAGAGGTGGAATGTCCTTCTTACATCAGTGATGTCAACAGGACTTATCACTGAGGGTGTTCACCCTGGTCACTTGGTGAAAGTAGTTGGCAGGTCTGTCTGTACCTTCTCTTTTGCCCTCTCCACCCTCTGTTTTCCATTATCTTTCACAGCACTCATGACTCCTTGTGGCTCTGCAGTGTGACTCCCTTCTTGAATGGTTGCTCAGTGAGAACAGACTGTGTCTGCCTTGCTCCCTGGGGCTCTGAGGACAAGTGAGAGTCCTTAGTCCAAAAGGAGTAAGCTATGTGCAGTGAAGATTCAGCCTCTGCACTTTCCCAGTAAAGAGCTTGAGGCCCAGAGAGGTGAAGAGACATGGCCAAGGCATCCCTAGATGAGAGCATTGGAGCTGGAGCTGGAATTTGGTCCCCGAGAAGCCTGGTTCTAGAAAGATCCTTGCAGCCCCTCCACGCCTTGTCGCTGCCCTCAGTGGTCAGTGGCCCTTCTCTGGTTAACATTGCTTGTTTTCACTAGGGCATTTCTAGACTCAAGTGCCAGCCCCAGACACCTGGAGGCTTGACAAGCTGAGTGTGCGTCTCAGGTCAGGGCTGCCTGAGAATCCCGGCCTCTTCTCTGCTGCTGACCCCTGCGTCTCCTACTCAGGATGACGACCTCATCCCGTTGTCTGAGAGCTCCATTGTTCATGGCCCCTCAGCTAGAGTAGATAGCCAGATCTTTCCCAGCCACTCGGTGGCCCCTTGTCAGTCAGGGTGACCTGGACTGGCCTTAGGGTGGGCACTCCAGACCTAGAGCAGGCTGGCCTAGAGCAGGCCCAGAGAGAATGGTTTTTTCTTGGCACTTCTCAGGGTACAGATGCAGTTTTTAGGATCTCTCTAAAGTCAAGCATTTAGACACTAGATTTTGATCTGTCCCCTGGCATGGTCCAAGACTAGTTGAATGTGGGCATGAAGACCTCTCTAGGGTCCTCTGGGGTGGCTGCTCATTTCTGTCTCTACCTGATCCTGGAGCCACCTCTGTTTCTTCCATCTTTTTATTTTGGTACCAGGGATCGAACTCGGGTCCTTGCGCTTGTGCAGCAGGTGGCAAAACCACTGAGCTAAATCCCTGGCCCTGTTTCTTCCATCTTAACAGATGAAAAAACGAGACCTGGAGCCTTCCGATGCCACGTACACAGCCCTGTTCAATGTCTGTGCTGAGTCCCCCTGGAAGGACTCAGCTCTGCAGACTGCCCTGAAGCTCCAGCAGCAGCTCCGGGCCAAAAATTTCCAGCTCAATCTGAAAACATACCACGCCCTGTTGAAGGTGGCTGCCAAGTGTGCAGACCTGAGGATGTGCCTCGATGTATTAAAGGTGGGGACACTCTTCCTTCTGGCTTCGCCAGGGGGTCCCAGCCCCCCATGACAGGGTAAGGCAGAAGCTGGCTTCCCCCCTCTCGAAGAAGGCTCAGCCACTCATGCTGGGCTGTGGGGGCCCCAGATTAACCCAACAGGACCCTGATCTTGGAGGCCTGAGTCTGATACCCAGTAGGCCATGGGGCAGAGGAGCGGGAGAGTGGTAAGGATGGGGTGGACAGCCATGCTGGGACGTTGAGAGTGTGTTCTGAGGGACTAAAGAAAAACCTGAGATGGCTTGTGGGAGAGAAGGTTCACTAAGGCATTAATCGCCGCTGGGCTTGGTGGTGCACACCTGTAATTGCAGCACTTTGGAGGCTGGAGCAGGAGGATGGCCCAAAGTTTGAGGCTGGCCTGGGCTACATACTGAGACTTTTTTTTTGGTACCAGGGATCAAACTCGGATCCTTGCCCTTGCAGGACAGGCGGCGGCGGAACCACTGAGCTAAGTTCCCGGCTCACAGTGAGACTTTGTCTCAAAAACAAAGAGGAAAAATCCAAAACAACAACAACACAAAACAACACCAAAGGACAGAGTTAATTTGAGACTTAGTAGCAAGAAACCATAAAGTCCAGTGATTGTGGGCTGGACAGGAAATTGCCAGAAGGTCCAGTGGTAGCAGGCTGCACAGGAAATTGCAAGAGGGAGCCCGAAGTGTCCAGTGGTGGCCAGGTGAACTGTAGTACCCTAGGGAGCTCTGTTCTGCATTCAGTTGTTGCAGAGAGGGGTTTTATAAACTACACAGCAGTGACATAGGTAGCTTACTTTGTTCTGTTGTATAAGCAGCATTCCAAGAAATGGTGACTTAGCACACAGTCGTGAAGGCAGTTTCTACAGATAACGCTAGTTTGCCCAGTTTCTAGTGTCCTTCAGATAATATTTATCTGGACAGTCCAGACCCTGTCAGCTTACAATGGCCCCTTGACCTAGTAAGGGTCTTGGGAACACAAAAGGGCATTTCAAGAACTTGGTGCTAAATGCCCTCGTTTTTCTCAGGGACCATATAGGCAGGGAGCCCCTCTGCTGACCACAGGGACAGAGGAGGGACTTGAGGTGGAAGGAGTGTGGAGGGTAGGCCTCAGCCAGCCCTGACGCCTCAGGGGTCAGTGGGGAGTAGACCCACGTCGGGCAGCAGCGCACAGTCATGGGGTGGGTTACTCCCAGGGCCCTGGGAAGCACAACCTTGCACACATGAGGAAGCCCAGGCCCGGGAGCTAAGCCTTCATGCCCACAGCAGGCCAGTGGGGGGGCTGGGACATGAAGCCACCTCTGTGATTCTAGATCCTGGAGTCCAGGTGCTAAGCATGGCCGCTGGGCTGGTCTTTCCAGAAGAGCTGCCCAGACATACTAGGACCAGGGTTAAGGCCTGGAAGCTGCAGGGGCAACAGTTAGGTACATTGCCCAGGACCTGGTTCTGACAGGGACCAGGTGAATGGAGCTGGTCCTGGTCCACGTGAGTTCGCTGTCATCTGGCCTAAGCCTGGGCCTGTCTTGGGTTCTCAGAAGGACTGCCTTGTTCCCCCACCAGGAGATCGTCCACAAGGGCCATGTGCTCACAGAGGAGACCTTCAATTTCCTGCTTATGGGCTGCATCCAAGACAAAACGACCGGCTTCCGATATGCTCTGCAGGTCTGTTCTTCCCACCCTGCCTTCTTGCCCTGCCTTGAGCGTGATCCTGTGCTAGGGGTGCTAGATGATGATCTTGGGCATGTTTCCCGAGCACCTACTACTGCCCCATGCCAGGTGCTTTTATTTATTTGTTTGTTTGTTTGTTTGTTTTTTGGGGACAGGATCTCACTATGTAGTTCAGGCTGGCTTTGAATTAACTTTGTAGCCCAGGCTGGCTTTGAACTCAAAGCAGTCCTCCTGCCTCAACCTCCGAGTGTGAGATTGTATGTGTGCGCTATAGTACCTGGCCTGGTGCTTTTCTATTTGCCATCTTCAGGCCTTCTCAGCAGCCATTGCAGAACACCGCTCCCCCTTTTTTATAGATGGTAGGGAGAGCATTTCCTTAAGTGAGGCTCAGGTCTCCTGCTCTGCTGGGTGGTCAGGCCAGACCCCCTAACCCTGTGGTTCCTGGCAGCCTGCAGTGCACTTGTCATGGTCCCTGTTCAGTCTGCCCGACAGCCCTTCCTCCTCTCAGCTTCTCTGCAGGGGAAGCCTGGGACTATGGAATGTGCTTGTCATTACAAAGTCAGACTCACAGGCCCCCAGAGAACCTCCCCTCATCACTCGAGGAACTGGCATTGGTGTTGGTGCCATGGTTGTTGAGTGGTTTCTGAGTCTTCACTGGCTCTTCGTCCTCGCATGTGCTCCATAGCAGCAGCAGCAGCCCTGTCCTCACCTCGCTGTGCGCAGCAACCTCCCGGGTGCTTTGCACTGTCCGGCCCCCCGTTGTGGGTCAATACAGGAGTAGATGTTTGTGTCCCCTCTGCAGAGTCTCTGGAAGCAGTGGCCAGCCATCCTCTGATCCTCAGAAGCTTCCTTAAAAAATAGCTAAGATACAGTTCTTTCTGCTTCTTGGCCTACATCTGTTCTAGTTAGAAGTAATCTGGAGGGGCCGGGGATTTAGCTCAGTGGTTCTGCTGCCTGCCTCACAAGTGCAAGGTCCGGAGTTCGATCCCCGGTACCAAAAAAAAAAGAACAGAGTAGAAGTAATCTGGTGGGCTGGGGATTTAACTCAGTGGCACCATGCCTGCCTCAAAAGTGCAAGGTCCTGCATTTGATCCCTGGTACCAAAAAAAAAAAAGAGAAAAGTAATCTTTTATGCTAATGTTTGTGTTGTGTACTTACTGCACTATTTCTGCTAGACATCAGTATTCCCCCCCGACACCCCTTGTTTTTTGCAAGACTGAGGATTAAATCCAGGGCTTTCACACTGAGCGCATCCCCAGGCCTTTTTATTTTGAAACAGGGTCTTGCTAAGTTGCCCAGGCTAGATTTGAATTTGTATAATCCCATTCTCCCAAAATGCTAGGATTATAGGCATGGACCACCATATCTGGCTTATTAGTCTCATTTTGCAGGTGAAGGAACTGAGGCTCACAGAGGTCTGAGGTCTCCCAGTTCCTGAGACCCAGAGTTAAACTGACATTCATTTGATCTCCAGTCCTGACTCTGCCACTGCACTCTGCTGCTGTGGGCTAGTGGGTATCCCTTACACCTCCCTTCTGTCAACCCTTCCTTGAAGGGTGTGCTGACAAGAGCCTGGCCCTGCAGACCCTGACCCAGTGGACAGTGGCCTTCTTGCAAGATTTGCCAGCTGGGGCCTGACTTGCTCCTCCCCACCCTCGCAGGGTGGGTGTCAGATATGTGTCCCAGCCCTAGGATGAGTGTGTAATTCTGTGGAGCCCAGGGCAAAAGGGAGGGAGCCCCTGTCGTGTGGTCAGGGGCACACCTATGATCCCAGCCCTCAGGAGGCGGAGGCAAGAGAATCTCCATGAGTTCAAGGGCTAGCCTGGGCTGCATAGTGAGTTCAAGGCCAGCCTGAACTACATAGCAAGACCCTGTCTGAAAAACAAGACAGAATTCAGAAATGGCATGGTCTTCAGCCAGGCATAGTAGCACGTGCTTATAACAGCAGCACTCTGGGAGGCTGAGGCAAGAAGATTGAAAGTTGGTGTCCAGCATGGGCAATTAGTGACTTAGCAAGACCCTATCTCAAAATAAAAAAGGAGTTGAGGCTGTAGCTCAGTGTGAAGGCCCTGGATTCAATCCCTGTTACCACAAAAACGGAGAAAAAAATGGCATAGTCCGGGCTAGTATAGGGCTACCCAGTTGTCATTAGGGCTGTGTTTGTTGATCACACACTGAATGTACTAGGTATGCTGTGGAGATAAGAATGATATTGTCCCATGGGGAAATAGGCTCCTGGGGTCCAAGCTAGGAGGGGTGAGGGCCTCGGCTGTAGCCTGCCTGACGCTGGTGCTATACTGTGCTGGCTCTGTCTCCAGCTCTGTCCTGACTTCTGCTCAGTCTCAAGGAAGTCTGCGGCAGAGCGGGCAGTGGGCACTTGGAAAGTGTTCCTGAATCTCAGCCTAGACTGTTGTAGAACCTAGGATCTCTGGCCATCCCTCTCTTCGGGGAGCACAGGAGAAGGTGCACAGGAACCCCAGGTAAAGGAGTTCTGGGAGAGGGCAGTGGGATGTGAGAACAATTTGGAGGTGAATTTGAGGAGGGAGAGGAAAGCTGCTGGCCCTGTGAGGCTTCCTGGGGAGTTTCAGAGTTCCCATGGTTCTCAGTTTCCAGAGCTAGGTGTTGGGTTAGAAACATTCCAGATTCTTTTTGTTTTGTTTGTTTGTTTGTTTGTTCGATTGATTTCTTCGAGATGAGTCTCACTGTTTTATGCAGGCTAACCTTGAACTAACTCTTGGTCTTCAGCTAGCCTCCTGCATCAGCCTCCTGAGTGCTGAGACTACAGGTGTGCACCGCCATACCACACTTTTTTTTTTTTTTTGCTATAGCTAGGAATCGAACCCAAGGCCTCATGCCTAATAGGCAAGTCTTCTACCACTCAGCCCCACCCCAGCAATAATTTAAGAAGTTGTGCGAGTGTGTGTAAAGGGGACGCTGGGGATGCACCCAGGGCCCTGCCACTGAGCTACATCCCCAGCCTTCTTGTGCCTTTTGAGTTTGCCCGTCTGACCGTCAGCTCACAGTGCCTGCCCCTGCTGAAGGCTCTTACCCTGCAGGAGCACTGAGCTGATGTTTCTCTCTCAGCAGGTGTGGAGACAGATGCTGAGTCTGGGGCTCGAGCCAAATCGGCACAGCTATAACCTGCTGTTGGGGGCTGCTCGAGATTGTGGCCTGGGGGACCCAGAGGTGGCCTCCAGGCTGCTCTTGAAGCCCAGAGAGGAGATGGTCCTGATCCAGTCCCCCACAGGCAAGCAGCGCGCAGGGAGGAGAGACAGGCCCAGGGCAGATGGTGGCATGTCAGCCAGACTGCACACGGAGGCCCTGGAGAGGCAGCTCTTCATGGAACTTTCACCATCACTGGAGGCCCCTCCAGAACCTTCAGAGGCCACAGTGCCTGGCAAGGCCCAGCCTGAGATGGGAACCAAGGCAGAGCCCAGCCACACTGCAGCCCTTGCCCCAGGGAGCCTAAAGTCACCTCCCTTGGAGCTGGTGGAGGTCAACCTCCTGGCCCTCGGGGCTGTCTCTCCAGCTGTGGTCTCACTTGGGACAGTGACCACCCCTGCTGACAGGCTGGTCTTGATGGGGGGTCTGGAGGGCTTCCTAGGCAAGATGGCAGAGCACGGGCTACAGCCCGACATTAAGACCCTCACACTACTGGCCGAGATGGTGGAGCCTGGCAGCCCTGCGGAGTCCTCGCTGCTGAGTGTCCTGGACAGGCACAAGGTGGAGGCTGACGTGACGTTCTTCAACACCCTGATGAGGAAGAAGAGCAGGCTGGGGGACCTGGAGGGGGCAAAGGTAAGGGCCTTGGGCCGGGACCTCCCTCCCTCCGCTCTGACCCTCGCACCTGGAACACGGCCCCTGTTGGCAGACAGCTCTGGACCCCTGCTCAGGCCTGGCCCTGGGTGAGGCTGGGGTGGAGCCGGGAAGCAGCCAGACAGCCCCACCCTCCTGTGGAGTTTAGGGGCTTGTAGGGGAGGTGGCGGCTGCTGTGGGAAGGCCATGGCCAAGCTCAAGCTCAGGTGGGTGAGAATTCCCTGGAGGAGCAGGCCCTGATGTCCACAGTGCCACCGATGAGGGTTTCTGCCTCCACGCCCCGGTCCTAACACTGTGCTTACTCTGAGCTAGGGGCTCTTCTCAGAGCTTCACGTCCATTTGCTTCTTTACCAATCCCACCAGAAGGCACTGGTGGGAATGTGAGGCTCTTGACAGGGTTTTTTGTTGGTGGTGGTTGATGTTTTATTTGCTCCTATGTGTTTGTTTTGTTCTTTGAAGTACTGGGGGCCTTCACACTGAGCTACATCCCCAGCACCCCCACCCCCTTTTTTTTTTTTTTGGTGTTTTGAGGCAGGGTCTCCCTTTGTAGTTCAGGCTAGCCCTGAACTCACTATGTAGCCCAGGCTGGCCTCGAACTTGCAGTGATCCTCCTGCCTCAGCCTCCCGCGTGCTGGGATTACAGGAATGCACCACCATGCCTGGCTTCCAGCCCTTTATTGATTTTATTTATTTATTTACTTTTGCGGTACTGGGGATCAAACTCAGAACCTTGCTCTTGCGAGCCGGGCGCAGGGCCCTTGATTTTAAAATTTTGAGACAAGGTCTCACTAAATTGCCTGGGCTAGGCTTGAACTTGGGATCCTTCTTCCTCAGGTTCCCAGAGTGCCAGGGTTATGGGAATGTACCACGATGCGCAGCATGACAAGGTTTTCTCTATTCCTAGGATAAGTTTTTATGTGACTTTTTTTTTGTCTTTTTGAGACAGGGTCTCACTATATAGTTCAGACTGGCCTCAAACTCACTAGATAGCCCAGGCTGGCTTTGAACTCAGCAATCCTCCTGCCTCAGCCTCCCAAGTGCAAAGATTACAGTTGTGTGCCACCACGCCCAGCTTATGTGATGATTTTTTTTTTTTTGCCAGAAGCACTGCCATAGGCACTTTTGAGGTAGCCATGCCGGTGCCTTCAGGCCCACAGTGGGAGCACATCTTCCTCTGGGCAGGCTAAGCATGATAGAACTCTTCCCCTGGAGCCCTCTCTGACTCAGCCAGTCTGTGGGTGTGATCCTCTTCTTCATGCCTGTCCAGGTGCTGCTTAACCCAGCACTACCCACACTGGTCAGCGTTGACTCTGGCTCTGGACTTGGTGCACTCAAGGCACCTGGTGCTAAGACTGAGGGCAGGTATGGTCAGCTGAGGAGCATGTGGTGGCAGGTGGGAGGGGTGGAAATATGAAGGTGTTCATGGAGACGGGATAGGCAGGCTGGGGGTCACAGCGCACGTGCTGGGGAGCTGTGTCCTGAGCAGAGTTGCACAAGATTCACACTTTGAGTGCCAGCAGCATGGTGCAGTTGGCAGAAGGAACCAGGAGACCTCTGAGTGAAGCTGTGCCCCTGGGGTCCCCAGTGTCCAGCCAAGGGCTTCACCAAAGGCCTGGCCAGGATTGGTGGGTCATGGGTTACAGTGATAGCATGTCTGTTCTCAGGCACTGTTGCCAGTCCTGGCGAAGAGGGGACTCATCCCCAATCTGCAGACGTTCTGCAACCTGGCCATTGGGTGCCACAGGCCTGGAGATGGTCTGCAGCTGCTTGCAGACATGAAGGTGAGGGGACCCAGACCCAGATAGGATGTCCGTGGTGGCGAGCACTCGGAGAGCTCTAGAAGGGAGCTGGGGCCCAAAATAAACTAGGGCTGTGGTGGGGCCGTCAGGGCAGCTCCACTCTAGAGCAGAACGGCCATCAGCCCCTTTGGAGCAAGGAGACCCTGGTGAGCTGCTGTGAAAATAGGCCGATAGCAGAGGGCATTCTCATCTGAAGGTGGTGGAGTCCATGGCCATACCACTCTGGACGTGCCCAATCTTGTCTGATCTCAGAAGAGGGTGATGGTGAGGGGTGATGGAGGGGTGGCAGTCGGCCTGGGAAGAGCCTTTTGAAAGCCTCTAAATGTTTCTGTACACATCCCACCTTGTTCCCATTGAAACTGTGCTAAGTGGATTTCATCTGACCTCAGCAGAGCGCATTTCTGGGCCAGGTAGTTTGTGTCAGCAGGCTGCTTTTCTAGGCTCCCCACCACTTGCTGGTGATGACATCACCAATAAAGACAGGAGCGATGAAATGATGTCTCCTGCCTGATTTTCTGCCCAAGTCGGCCTCAGAGCACCACAATCTTCCCACACAGCTCTCTGGGGCTGAGGGGCGGGGCATACTCACTTTCCTTCTGGATGGAGAGACACCTTGTTGTTGCTGTGAGGTTCTACCCTTCCTATCCCTGCTGGTCTTTAGAACAGACCTGATTGGCAGGGTGGCTCCCTACGCTGGACATCAGTGTCCCAACAGCTGCCAACATCTCGCTAATTGTGTGCTGTCTGTGATGTTCCAGAAATCCCACATGACCCCAAACGTCCACATATACAGCACCCTCATCAATGCAGCCCTCAAGAAGCTGGACTATACGTATCTCATCGGCATCCTGAGGGACATGAAGCAGAGCAGAGTCCCAGTGAATGAAGTGGTCATCCGCCAGCTGGAGTTTGCAGCCAAGTACCCACCCACCTTTGACCGGGTATGGGCACTGAGCTCTGAGATGCCCGTTGTCTCCTTGACCATGGCCATCCTGGTTCTATCCTTTTGGAGTTGGCATTCCTTTAAAATTGTCCAGCAGCTTCCCTTAGGAGAAATCCCAGTCCTTGTCCATGTGTTCCTAAGGCCTGTCTTCTCATAGTTGACTTGGTCCCTCTAGCTTCTTTCCTGCCTTGGGAGCATTTGTATCCTCTCTGCCTCAGATAGACTCCCTGGGTTCCTTTTCTTGTAGGTCCCTGCTTAAAAAGCCTTTTCTCAGAAATGCCCTGTTGCCCACAGCATACAGCCCTATGCCTTGTGCCATGGTTCACAGTCTGTAATTATATGTGCTTACGTGTGACTTACACCTTCACTAGGTTGTAGGCTTCTGCCCTGCTCACTGCTTGTGTACCAGTGAGTAAGCAGCAGCAGAGCAGTGACAGAGCTGGTTTGGCAGTGACCACTGCTCTAAGGATATCAGGCTCTAGCATTTGGTCTTAGGGTTGAGTCAGACCCTGTGCTGAGTGTGCACTGAGCAAGTGCGGCTTGGCCAAGCACAGCCCAGACAGGGAAGGCAACAATAAATGGCACACCATGCAGGGGCGGGAACTCAGTAACAGTCTGCAGGTATAGCACTTGAGTGCCACTTGGGAATCTGGGTAGGAATGAGTTGAACAGGGAAGGTTGTGCCAGACAGAGGGCACAGCTGGGTGTTTTTGGACTCATTGAATCCTGAGTTCTTTATACCAGATGCATGTCTTTGCCAGTCGAATGGTGTAAATACTCGCTTGGTGGATTCTTTCCACTCTGGTTTAGGACCCATCTTTTGGGTCCTCTTAGGTTTGGCAACAGTCACAAGACTACCTGAGCCCTAAAGTTCATTCTATCCAAACCATATACCAGGACTCCCTACAGCTGTAGGACTTGTTTATATTTCCATTTGTGATTGTCAAGTTTTGCCTTTTTTTTTTTCCACGAGGCAGGGTCTTGCTGTGTAGTTCAGGCTGGCCTTGAACTCTCAGTGATCCTCTTGCCTCAGCTTCCTTAATGCTGGGATGGGATTTTACAAGTGTGAGCCACCATGCCCAGCAAGTTTTTATTGTGTACTTTCAGCCTGAATTAGGTACATCAAGTTTGGAATTGCTAAATCTTTTTTTTTTTGTACCAGGGATCGAACTTGGGGCCTTGTGCCAGAACCACTGAGCTAAATCCCCAGCTGCTAAATCTTTGTTTTCTTTTTCTTTTTTTTGGTAGCAGGGATTGAACTCAAGACCTTGCACTTGTGAGGCAGGCTCAGGCACCACTGAGCTAAATCCCCAGCCCCAAGGAATTGCTAAATCTTTTTCTTTTTTCGGTACCAGGGATTGAACTCAGGGCCTTGCACTTGCCAGGCAGGTCCAGGCACCACTGAGCTAAATCCCTGGCCTGGATTGCTAAATTTTAAACCTTTTATCCTATGTGGAAACATCCTTTTGTCTCTGATTGTACTTTTTTCTGCATAGCCCCCTTCCAGTTTTCCTTCAGTACCTACTATACTTGGTGTGCCTTTTTCCTTTTACTGCTTCTCCAAGGAGGCAGTGGCTGTGCTGAGCTGGAAGTATTTAGACCAGAGGCCACTGTCGGTAGGACCCAAGGTTCTAGCTTGTGGGCTAGGGTGACATCAATGGGTCAAGGATTTGCGAAGATGCTCCCATATAGAGCTTCCCTGTGCTGCTGCCTATGGCCTCCTGAAGGAGGGTAGCAGGGAAGGCTTCCAGCTGCTGTGGTTTGGGGTCAGCTGTAGGTGACATGCAATGATTTGGATCATCCAAGGACGCCTCTGAGCCCCATGTTTTTTCAATTACAGTACCAAGGGAAGAATACCTACTTGGAGAAGATTGACGGTTTCCGAGCTTATTATAAGCAGTGGCTGAAAGCAATGCCAGCAGAGGAAACCCCCCACCCTTGGCAGGTGTTCCAGACCAAACCCAAAGGAGGCCAGGACACCGTCAGAGACACTGGTGTCGACAGAGGCCTTGGGGGCAGGTGATGGGGCACATGGCGAGAACAGTGTGTGGACCTTTCAGTGCCTGGGGAGCCGCATGCTGCAGGTGTTAGTTTAGAGGACGGATGCCAGGCCCAGGCTGCCCAAGTCCACAGCAGGTCCTACAGCAGCTCCAGTCACCTCAGCTCACCCTCGCCTGAGAGGTCACCTGTGTACCGGTCCCGGGCCTGGCACTCTTCCAGGTTCCATTGCCTGCTGCCCTGAAAGACTAACAGAGGACTCGAGAGCTTTAAAGGTTTTATTGTTACAAATCACAGCTGGTGAACACCAGCCCTTCACCCGAAGAGACCACACTCCAACGTGGGCCCAGAGTGCTGGTCCAACAAGAGTTGCTCCCAGGAATGGGGTGGCACAGCAGGAACCCGCAAGGTCCAAAGTCCAGGATGGAGAGGGCTCGGAGCCAGATGGCCTCAGCCAGAGCAGCCCCGGCAGCCGCAGTGTGTACACTCGATGATGCGACCCTGCAAAAGAGGACAGCTGCCCGTGAGACACCACACCCAGCCACGACCACACCCCTGCAGCCACCACACTAACCCTGAGCAGGGTGCCAACGGGACTTCCTGCAGAACACTTCTCAGAACCCTTCATGGGCAGTACCGGACAAGGGGATTTGAGTTTCCTCACGAAAAGGAAACAAGCTAGGTGTGGTGGCACATACCTGTAATCCCAGCACTTGGGAGGTTGAGACAGGAGGATCACTTTGAATTTTAGGCCAGCCTAGGCTACATAGTGAGTTTAAGTCCAGTCTGAACTACAACATCTTGTATCCAAAAAAAAAAAAGGGAAGTGACTATCAACACTGATGTTACATCTTTATGTGCATTTAATTCATGCCAATTCAACATACATTCTTGCTCAGAACAAATTCTGTATGGATGAGTCTTACTCTACCAGTGAGCTTGGTGAGTGTGCTGCTGCTCAGGTGCTCAGTGCCATGTCTTGGCTGGGACACTTGGTGGCAGGAATGCCAGGGCAGAAGGGTGTGTGCACCCGACTTCCTGTGGGCAGCGGGACAGTCTTGTCCTATAGGCCTGGTGTCTGGCTGGGGGTCTGCCCAGCAATCATGCCTTAGAGTAATAGTTTATCTTTTTAAACTCTCTTCCATGAGCAAGATCCTAGTGAAAACAAGCAAGATGGTGAATCCCAGCTAAGTCCAGGTAGCTTCTATTTGGGCCAAAGAGGAAACGGCCAACCAGACAGCTGCATGGCACCTTGGGGTCGTGGGATGGGGCTTCTGCTACTGTGCCAGCCCCTGGGCGCCTCACAGAGCCTTTCCCTGGAGGTGCCCTCATTGGCGTACTACTACCCAGCATACACGTCTGTGCCAGAGCCCCCAGTGTGCAAGGAGACGAAACTCCTGGGCACCAAGGCTCCGGGAACGCTGGTACAGCAGTGAGGAGGGCCCCACCGGGTGGGGCACGGGGCGCCTGTGTGAAACGAGGGAGCATAAGGCCAATCTGGGAGATGGCCGTCGGGAGGAGCTGTACCCACGGGCAGTGTGCTCGTTACTCTGCCTCATTCTGCAGCTGATTCCAAAGGGCAGGCAACGAGCTCAGCTGCATGCCCGGCACCTCTCCCAGGGTGCCCAGCCTAGCTCACACTGCAGTGACTGTGACGAAAGGGAAAGGAATTCCTGCTGAGCAGCTACTCTTCCCTGATGAGTCCTCCCACCACTGTGAGGTTGTTACCTGCCCAAAGGTGGGGCTGAGTCTGGCCCTAGACCACGCAGGATTGCTGCCAAACCCCAGCTAGCACAGATCCCTCAACAGAGGGACTCATTTCAGGAAGGCGAGCCAGCAGAACTCCAGTGACAAAGCCATAAGGCAGCCAAACCAAATGCTACAAAACCCCTTGGAGTTGCCTAGGGTAGTGTTTTGAATAACTGAAGAAAACATTAAACTTGAGCACCAGGCCTTACCACTTCCAGCTTGCTTTTGGGAACCCGGCAAATGCAGTTTGTCCCAAAATTAGTGTCCCGAGTCTGAATGCATCGCAGGCAGCACAAGTTCTCATACCCCTGCTTTTTCCACTTTGCAATCAGGTTTTTGTCTGCATAGCCTTCTTTAATACAATATTCATAGAGTTCTGTCAAAAAGATGGGAAAAAGGCATCAGACCATGGCATAACAAACCTGACCAACCCCTGGTTAAAAAGAAGTATTTCCTTGGGAGGCTAAGGCAGGAGGATCACCTTGAGTTCAAGGGCAGCCTGAACTATACAGCAAGACCCTGTCTCAAAAAAATTTTTTAAAAACTTTCCCCATTTTTAGTGGTAAAACTCACAATGCTTACAGAAGTTGCAAGGGTAAGAATCATTACCTAAGGAATTCTGAGTTAATCGGGTTCAAAGGCCAAGAGAGAATTTAGCAATTACCTCTGCTTATGGCTTTCCGCTTGTAAAAGAGGTCAAAGATATAGCGGGTTTTCTGGTGGTGGATTCTGAAGATGGGCCACAGAGACTCCACTTTCCTCTTTCCCTCGTGAGGTTCTGTTTCAGCTGGAGGCAAAAAAAAGAAATGTGTGTGTTTTGTGGAGTCGGGTTAGTTTGTACCTGCACAGGACAGTTTTGTGGGAGAGGATATTAATAACTATGGATAATGAGCTGGGCATGGTGACCCATAATCCCAGCACTCGGGAAACCGAGACAGGAGGATTACAAGTTTGAGGCCAGCTTGTATTACACAGTTAAGACCCTATCCAAAAAGTAAATACCACTTTATTTTCATTAGCATGGCTATAATCAAAATGACAAACAACACGTGACAGTGAAAATGTGGAGAAACTGAAATTCTCACTCTCCTGTGCTAGCAGTGTAAAAGGGTGCAGCTACTGAGGAAAACAGTGTGGCCGGTCTTTAAGAATGTACTACCCAGCAATTCCACCCCTAGGAACACACCAAAGAGAACTGAAAACACATAGCATATGCACACTTGTACATGAGTGTTCACTATAGTGAAAAAGGAAACAACCCAAATGTCTTCCAACTGATGAATGCATGAACTAAGTGTGGTCTACCCACCCAAAGGAATATTATTCAGCCATAAAAAGGAATGAAGCTGGGCATAGTGGTGCATGCCTGTCATCCCAGCACGCTGGGAGGCTGAAGCAGGAGGATCCCGAATTCAAGCCCAGCCTGAGCAACCTAGCAACTTAGCGAGACCTTAATTCAAAATTTTAACCACTTACCAGTCCAATTATTTAAATACAGGATGACCAAAAATTGCATATTTTTTCATTAACTTTTATAAAAATATAACAGGAAATATAAAAATGACAATTTTGGGCTGAGGATTTAGCTCAGTTGTTCCACTGCCTGCCTCGCAAGCACAATGTTTCGAGTTTGATCCCCGGTACCAAAAAAAAAAAAAGGACAATTCTACCAAATTTATTCATACAAGAATCGACTGGCTGGAATGACACCTGTGAGGGATGCTTGGGATAGTGAGTACATAAACAAAGGTGCTGCCTGAGTGGCCCTGGGGAGCAAGTATTAAGTAGTTAAAAAGGGTGGGGAATGCAGCTCACTGTGAAGGCCCGGTTTAATCTCCGGTATGGCACGCATGCAGATGGGTGCACACACACTGAAGTACATGATTCAACATGGATGAACCTGGAAATGTAAAGCTGGTGATGCTTGCACAACTCTGACTATACCAAGACCTCTAAACTGGATGCTTTAAAAAGGTAAATTTCTCAGCACGCGATTCTCAAGCAATCATTAGAAAAAAGTGATTCAAATATAATTGCTTTAACCCTAAAATGCTTTCTAAATTAGATAAATTAGAATACAGATTAAGAAGAAAATCATTCAACAATAACCTCTGTTAACACCTTGGTCTCATTTCACTAGACCTATTTGTACAGCCTAATAATTTCTCAAGATAATGTTGGGCTCACATATATGCAGCCTAATAATTTTTAAGGTGCCTCTAATTTCATTTCCCAGGTAAAATCCTTTAGGACTAAGAGCCAAAACAAGTACGCAATCTGAAGGTTTTCCGCTGTATGTAAACGACTGCAGCTTCAACAGGCGAAGGATCAGGTGGAACAGTATACCCCACACCCCTGCAAAGTCCAAGTTCAGAGCTGGCAGATTTTTCCTTAGAACCTAACTAATAATTGTTCTTAGAAACCCTCACGGTTTCTTGGAAACCAAAAGTATCCTCCGAAATTGTTTTTTTGGCCAGAGGTTTGCAAGTAGCTAACTGGAGAGCATTATTCAGTTCTTCTTGCTGCTGACTGGCTGCTGCCCTGTAACCAGCATTCTTGTATCATAACAGGTTGCTGAACTGTGCGTAACTATCTCTGTAGTTCTGGGTTTTATTCTTAAAGCCCTAAGATCCCTAAGATGCTGCCAAAATGGCCTATACCTTCTAAGGCTTTATTAGTACAGTATTTTATTAAATTATGTAACTGTGGGAGACACAACATATTTAGGATTTAAACTAAGGATGGGAATTTATAGGCATTTTTCTGATATGTGAAATTTGCAGTTTTTCACATTTTGATGCTGCTCTAGGAACGGAACCCCCATGAATTTCACCCACCATAAGGCAATTCTCTTTTAGCAATCAAAATTGATCTTTGTCAGCCAGGGATTTAGATCAGTGGTGCTGTGCCTGCCTCCCAAGTGTAAGGTGCTCAGTTTGATCCCCAGTACCCAAAAAAAAGCCTGATCTTGGTCAACTACTTCCTTTCCATGTTGTTGCTGGGTTGCCCAAGCTGGACTCAAACTCACCATCCTCTTGCTTCAGCCTCCCCAGGAGCTGGGATTATGGGTGAGTGCTATCACACACAGCTCCTCTCAGTTTTTGTTGTTGTTTTTTGTACCAGGGATGGAACTCGGGTCCTTGCGCCTGTGGGGCAGGAGGTGGTCCTCTCAGTTTTTAGGGCACAGGGGAAAGGCAAGGAGTGTTCAAGAAAACCATAGCTCCACTTCTACCAACTTTTAAGCCGTTCTATTACCTAGAATTTATAATTCTACTCAACAGACAGGATTCTGTGAACGAAGTACATAGGCCTCTATGCCTGCTCTGGGGAAGGTTCTGCTCTAGGTGCCCAAGGAACATGAGTGGGTGGGACAGAAGACCCCTGCTCTGGACATCTGGATAGTCTTAGAAATGTAAAACATCTCAGACTTAACCTGTCTAGAATTGAAATCCTTATTCTCCCATCGCAAAGCTGCTTTCTTTTCTTTTCTGGGTACCAGAGATCGAACTCGGGACCTTGCACTTGAGAGGCAGGCAAATCCCTGGCCCATAGCTGCTTGCTTTCTCGAGCCATAAGTCATGGAGCCATTCTTGACTCTTTGTTCTTTCTTCACCAATCCAGCAGGGCTGAGCCTGAATTTCCACACAGTAACACGGGTTCTAGCTTTTGCCTCTTGCCAGTCTAGAGCCCCCTAACACGTCCACCATTGAAGTCAGGTGTCCCGTGCCACTCATCATCTACTCGGGCTGCTATTCTCATTCTCTCCCGAGCCACCTTCACCTTCACCCTTTTTTTTTTTTTTCCTTAACTAGGTCTCAGGATATAGTCCCGGTTGGCCTTGAACTTGCTGTACTGCCTAGGCTGGCCCTTGCTTTGGGTTCAAGCACTGCAAAGGAAAAATGGAAAAAAATATCATCCTTAAAGGAGGAAGCAGAATTTATTTTCAAAGACTCAAAATCTCTTTTATTCCAGCACACTTCTATTTTCTTTCACAAAAAGCTGCTGGGAATGAAATCTCTCAGCCCACAATGACATTGATTACTGCAAGTTCTGGATATCTAATGAACATTAGCTGGCACAGTCAGTTATGAAAAGAGGGGGGAAAATAATTTAAAACTGATTTAGTAATTATTGTTGAAGGTGTGACCTCATAACAGTGGTTAGATTCATTATAAACAAGCATTTAAAAGCTTGGCTCAGGGTGCCGAGGACTTAGCTCAGTGGTTCTGGTGCCTGCCTTGCAAGCGCAAGGTCCTAAGTTCAATCCCTGGTACAAAAAAAAAGCTTGGCTCAGGGTATCAGGGTATAGCTCAGTGGTCAAGTGCCTGCCTACCATGCACAAGACCCTGGATTGGATCCCCAGCACCACAAAAAAAGGGAAAGTATTATATTTTGTATTATTTTAAATATACACCTAACCAAAACAGTAAATATAGACTATTCTGACCTATATTCCTTAAAGCTTTTGTATTCAAGTTGATCCAAAAAAATTTTTAAGGCCCTTTTCATTAAAGTTATCTTGTTTCCAGTAGTTGTAGCATTCTAGGTTGATAAGCAAACATTATACTCTAGTGTCAGAGGACAAGCCTCTTATTACATTGAGTTTGTGCCTGGTTCTGGAGGAAGCTAAGCCTGTGAATCTCCATGCAGCCAACGCAGCAGGAGCATTTCACTCACCTTCTCTCATCTTTTGATCCAATTCATCCAGTGTTGGTTCAATCAACTCCCAGCCATCTGGGGGAGCTTTCCGGCTTCTTTTGACTTTAGGCATTTTTTTTCCCTTACAAGATAGTTTGCAGAGATCTGGAAAATAAATAGGTTTCTGAGTCTCATTTTACCAAAAGTCACTATTTTGGTACATATTCACTTCCTGGCCCCATACTGGACACTGGAATCACAAAACAAGGAATTAAGGCAAACTCTGCCTCTTAGAAGGTGACATTTTGGTAAGGAGATACACAAGTGAAAAGGCAATCACAATCCAGTGTGAGAAGGACTGTAATTGAGGGAGCCAAGGGGATGAGTGTTTGAAAGGGAAAAGATGACTGTAAAATCACAGTACCTTAGGATCTATTTCCAAGAGTGAAGTAGAAAGATCTCTGGTCTCTGCAGTTATAGGCTTGAACTTTTGTCTCTCTCTACCAATTATTCTATGATTTTGGAGAGATCACTTTCCCTCTTTAGTTCTCAGTCTCATCTGCAAAATGAGGGCAGTAGATTAACTGATTGCCAAAGTTTATTTATTTTAGTGGGACTGGCGACTGAACTCAGGGCCTTCGCACTGAGCTACATCCCTAGCCCTTTTTATTTTATTATTTCGGGTCTCAACTGAGTTGGCCAGGTGGGACTTGAACTTGCAAATCCTCCTGTCTCAGCCTTCCAGAGTGTTGGGATTACAGGCGTGTGCCACCACGTCCAGCTGTCAAAGTCCCTTTTAGACCTAATGAACACGCTTCATAAAGTCAGGTAAAGCTTATACAAAATCTTAACCGCAAAATATTTTCAAACTACACAGAATTTCCTAGCTGACAAAGAGAACTTCAGGCTATATTTTACCCTTAAGCACAGCCAACCCATCTCCCCCACATTTACTCAGTCCCCCCTGCTGTAAGGTACCCGATGCTTTACAAAGCCCCCTGCCCATAACATTAAACACTCCATAGCAACTTTTCGGATAAACAATCAAACTCTAAGCAGTGAAGTCAGGGTCGCAGAGCTGGGAACTGGCAGACATAGAAGCTGATTATCGCGCTCCTTACTCCCAAATCAGTGGTCTTTGCACTGGTTTCCCTGGCGCTGAAACTAGAGATGGGTGGAATCTGAACCTGCCCCAGGGCGCACAGCCAGTGACAAAATAATCACTCTCCTCTGACCCAGGGAAATTCAAAAAGTCCTGATTCAACGTGGGAGTGAGAAGATGCCTGTGGGGGAGATAAAAGTAGGAGGTAAAGAGATCAAGAGCAAAGAGGTGTTGAGCAGTACACAGGGGTAGGGACACTCAAGGACCGGAACGAGGGGGAGAGAATGTTATAGCCAGGATTGTAGGGACGACTCCTAAAAAGGATGCCATGCGAAGACTGCTTAGAAAATAGTATTTAGATAAGGAAAACAAAACCCAAACCAAAACCAATCCCGGCAGGAAAAAGGATGTGCAAAGTAGCCTAGTACCAAAAGAACACCCCAAATCTACCATTCCCCCGGCAGAACAAAAAGGCGCTGACTCCTCTCCGTGCAGCTACTCAGTTCGCCCTCCGTAGACCTCTGGTCCCAGCTTCAGCCGCTGCCAAGGTGTAGTACTCGAGAACAGAGGGAAAACGCTCACCGAAAGCCTGAGCGCCTACGGCCTTCGCTCCTGTGCAGACTGCTTCCGCCCCTTCCGGTCTCTGTGGGACGAGGCCCGCACGAAGCCCCGCCCCACTGCGCGCGAAGATTGCGTCACTTTAGGTGTCTGCTGCGCTGCCTGTATAGAATTCCGGAGCCGCTGAGGTCCTTTGTTCTGAGGTCCCGGCAAGGGGCCGGAGGGACTACAAGTCTCCCCAGGCGGAGACACTGGTGGCGCTGTTGCCAGGCAGGGCGCGGGTAGACCTAGACTCAGGCGCTCCGCGGGACAGTCCGACTTGTGCGCCGGCCTCTGTGAGGTCCCCTGTCTCACGGCGGGGGCGGCGGCGGCGGCGGCGCGCTGAGCGGACTGGGCCGGGCGGAAGTAGAACCCAAAGTGTTTCCGGTTCCTGTGTCAGTTCGAGGCGCCGCCGCCGCAGTCGCCGGAGCCGCGATGCCTAAAGGAGGTGAGATACTGGGACGTGTGCTCACGCGTCTGGAGGGGCAGCACGGGGCCGGCTCTCGCGGTGCCTTAAGCTCGAGGGCGTCTTGGGAGAGCTGCGCCGAGGGAGACCTTGCGCGCCGACCGAGAGCCAGGCCTGGGCCTCGACGTCCAGTTGTCTCTGCGGCAAACTGAAGTACCGTGGTGGTCTAGAGCCGCACTCCCGGGGCTCTGAGGACATTCAGGGGCTCGGTCCTCGCCAGTGCGGAAAGCCGGTCGCGGGGCACGCTTCTCCAAGCCTGGGGGCTGGGCGAGGGGGTCTGGCGTCTCCTCCCGCTTCTGGGCTGGCCGGGAACTCAGTCCCAGCGTCCCGCGCCTTTTCAGGGCCTGCCTATGTAGCGCCTAAAATGTGGGCCCTCTCAGGCTCCTGCTCAGCCAGGCCTCCCTAATGAGATTCTCTGGAGTCTGCCCTGTCTGACTTCTATTCCCCTGCTCGGGTAGAAGCTCAGTCAGTGTGTGCCTTTGGGCCAGGCGCATAACCTTCTGTTTCAGTTTCCCCATTTGCAATTGGGATTGTGTCTACCGCATAGTGCTGATGCGAAGCTTAAAGTAGATAGTACACATAGAATGCTCCAAGGATGTTGGACAGTCAGTCGTTAAGCCCCAGTGAGCATTAACCACTACTGTTTTTGTGGGATTTTGCCAGCTCTTGATCAAGAAGGTCTGTGACTTCCCAGTACATTGTGGCCCATCTCCCATCCTTTTTCTCTTTCAGAATCTAAAGCCTTGCAGTTGAATCCCAGCTTTATCATTATCTTGTTTTCCTTATCCAGAATACTGGCATAATAATCCTTAGCTTTGCAGGTTAGGGACAGGAGTCATAAAATGAGGGAGCACGGAAAGTGCCTGGCTACCTCCTGGCACAGAACAGATGTTCAGTTCAATATTGGCAGCTCATGTGTTACCCTGGTTAATGCAGTCAGCCTACAGAGAACATCTGCCTGGAGCTCTTTCAGACCTAAATTACTTCCGATTCCTGACGTCCAGAAATATTAGGCTTTACAAAACTGAATCTTTTAAAACCTGGCTCTCTGATTGTTCTGTGGCTGGAAGACTCATGTCTCTTATTCTCAGTTTCTTCATCTGTAAAAGGCAAGGGGTTAGCATTATGAATGAACCTTTCCAGTTACAGAATTCTGGCTCCAAGGTTAGAAGTTACAATTCGAAAATCTTAAATATGAATTCTAGCTAAAATACTTTGTCTTTTGGCTTGTGAACAGCTTTGCAGACAGACCAGGGTTTCCTTGCTTGGGTTAATTTGGTCAAAAACACAAGAAATCAGGCCTGGGGATTTAGCTCAGCGGTTCCACCACCTGCCTCAGAAGCACAAGGTCCCAAGTTTGATCCCCGGTACAAAAAAAAAAAAAAAAAACCACAAGAAATTATGAAGGTGTTAAAAGTATAAAATTCTGGGCTGGGGATTTAGCTCAGTGGTGCCACTGCCTGCCTCGCAAACACAAGATACTGAGTTCTATCCCCAGTACTGCAAAAAAATAAAAATGTATAAAATTCCTGGGCTACGGATTTAGCTCAGTGGTTCCAGTGCCTGTCTTGCAAGGGCAAGGTCCAGAGTTTGAGCCTCGGTACCAAAAAATTTTTTAAAAAGTATAAAATTCCCCAAGAGCAAAGGACCAGCTCTCCTTATTTTCACTGTGCTATCTGTGAAACATTTTTAAAGTCTTAAGAGCCTCTGATAAACGTTACTGTAGACCAAGTATCCCACAGCCAGGTGTAGGGGCTGAGAGCCTCTAGTAACCAAATTTGAGTTGTTACCATGGTCTGGTATATTAAGAGGTAAGAAAAGGTGTTGGTTTTTTAAATGGCAAGCTTGGTGTCTCACAATAGTCTTTTCATGAGCGTAGACTTAAATACCCCTGGGAACCTAGGTAGTCATTAAAAATGGGTGGTGTGGGCTGTAGCAGTCCAATTATGGCTCTGCAGCTGCTGTCTAGGAAATTAGAGAAGACTAGTATCTCCACTACTGTCTCTGGAGTCCGGAGCAGCTCTGTCTAATTACATATTCTCTGCACACAGCAAGTGACCCTCTGGAAGTCAGGTGGATCACAGCATCCAGGAGAGGTCCTGTGTTGGGAGGGAGCCACTCTGCTGTAAAACTGGTGGATGGCATTAGTGGGGGTCAGTCTGGTGTCCTGGCTCAGGAGGATCACAATATAAAAGTTCATAATCTTAGATGAATTTTTATTGCCAGCTACATTTGTAACACCTTAGGCTATCGCCAGGCTTATCTTTAACTTTGTTTGCTAATTTCATTCCAAATACAAAGATTTTGCTGATAGAATTTGGATTTTTTTCTTCTTAAGTATTCTAAGTTAACATGGAGTATTTTGTTTTCTTTTTTTCTGAGATTTGCAGTAAATTGCTTATGTAATCAGTGGTGTTTTTTACTGCTTTTCTACCAAATACTATATTAAAGCGATAACACCCTTAGCAGACATTTTTGTAGTGCTTGTCCTGGGCCAGGAACTGTTCTAGCAGCTTTGCACATGTTTACTGATCTGTCTTCATAGTAGACCTATGAGGTAGGGACATGTGAGGAAACTAAGACTCTTGAGAAGTTAGCAAATGTAGCTGAGATTTGAACCCAGGGGTTGGACTCTAAAATGTTTAATTCTTCACTGCTGCTTTGATCTTAAGTCTCCTTGTCTACAAAACAAGATCAGCAATGACTCTTGCACTATAGGTTGTTCTGAAAATCAGTTGAGACTGTGACCGTGAGAAAACATTGCAAGTAAAAAGCTCAATAGTGGCTGCAGGGCTATAAATGTAAAATGATTTTGTGCTTGCATCTGAGTCCACTGTGTTTGGGTTCTAAGGGACCAGGGGGAGTTAGCCAGTCACTTTACCATACACAGTACCCAGTGTCCTCCCCTGAGGTCTGATTTATGGGAACTTGCATCCAGCACACTATTTTTTTTTTTTCCAGCACACTATTTGGTGGTGCATCAGGTGGTCGTTGAGTTGCTTCCTGTGTCTCTTTGAACACAGGTGGGGGAGGTGTGGGTTTTTGTGGTGTTTGGTGAAGGGTAGGTGAGATTTCTGCATCCTCTGATAAGAGGGTCCAGGCAGAACACAACCCCCTGGGAGTCAGGCTCATCAGTGCTGTTGTTCCTCTCTCACTTTCCTAAACTACTAACCCTTGTGCAGGGAGAAAGGGAGGCCACAAAGGCCGAGCAAGGCAGTATACAAGCCCTGAGGAGATTGACGCCCAGCTCCAGGCTGAAAAGCAGAAAGCCAGAGTGAGTACATCCCTGTCTACCCACTCCGGTGGCCCAGGTGCTGCCTTGCCTTGGGTACTATTTGCAAGGAGAAGCCCACGTGTGTGGGTGGGAACGGCAGTGGACAGCAGGTGTGAACCCTGAAACAACTGGTCATAGTTGGCCATCCTGTGACTGGATCACTTAGAACTTTGACCACTCTGCAGCATTTGCCACAGTCTCTGTTTCTGGTTCTGTGTGCCTGTCTTATGGGGGCTTTCCCTCCATCTGCCTCTGTCCATCCTCAGCTCGCATTCCCAGCACCCCACTTGTCTGCAGCGGCCACACAGGGCTGCTTGCCGTACTTGCTACCACATGCTGACCTACCTTCCCACACTCACACACACCTTTTCATTTTCATTGCCCCTGGCTTCTCATCAGGCTCCACAAGGTGCCACAAAGGGGAGCAGGGCCTTTTACAGCTGGGCCAAGGGGCTTATTGGACTGTGGGTCTGGCCTCCAGGCTGTGATGCTGCAGGACAGGCCCAAGTGCCCTACTCTAGGGGGCAGGTGTGCAGAGTTGGACCCTTGACATACTTGGTCCCAGCCTTCCAGAGGCTTAATGTTAAGGTCCACAGTCTGAGGGTGGTAGGGGGATCACAGTTTTGGGGGTTTGTTTTGCATTTTTGATTCTGCAGGTTGTCCATTTCTGAAACAGGAAGAAGAGGAACAAGAAGAAAGTGGAGATGGGGCTGCAGGTGACCCCAAAAAGGAGAAGAAATCTCTAGACTCTGATGAGAGTGAGGATGAAGATGATGACTACCAGGTACTGAGTCTGGCTTCTGAGATCCAGACAGTGGCCTGGGATCTGGACACATGGATTCACCAAACATTTACTGAGTGCCTGTTCATTACCAGTCCCAGTGGTAGATATAGACAAAGCCCTTGCTCTTAAGGGTATACAGTCTAATGGACATACAGATAATGAAGTAAAGGAATGGCAAAAAGTGATAAATATTGTGAATAAAATAGATTGATAGGTGTTTGGAATAGTGTGCTGAGGAGATGGTTTATAAGCTGAGATATGAAAAACGGGATGGAGCCACCCATGTG